CGCCCTGCCTGTCCCCTCGCGCTCAGTCTCCCACGCACCACCACAGCCGGCACGCCGCGCAGACTCGGGCTCTGCAGCTGCACTCGCCTGGGCCCGCTGACCGCGCTCAGCGTATCGTGCGCATCGACCAGGTCGCGCAGGTGATACAGCGCTGCTGCTGCTGCTGCGCTGTCGTCCGCATCCGCATCCGCATCCGCATCCAGCGTCGCTTCCGGCCTGGCCTCGGCCTCCGGAAGAGCTGGCGCAGCAGCAGCAGCAGCAGCAGCAGCAGCGATCATGATCGATGATGGGTCCGCGGCGGCATCATCGGGCCGAGAAGCAGCCGCAGAACGCGAGACGTACTGGTTGATCTCGACGATGACGCTGCTGAGCGTGGTCGCCGACACGAACACTTCCTGGTGGTCGGGGATCTGGCGTAGGTTGCTGGCGTCGATGTAGGCGCTCGGCAGGGGGGCGTGCATGGCGCCGCCGTAGAGTTCGCGCGCCGAGAATAAGGCCATCTCGGTCGGGATCAGGATCAGGATGCAAAATCCGGCTGATGCTGGGCAAGGTACGGGTCATGGAGATGCAAGCGGCCATGGATGGGAGTTTGGGGGAGGGGGTGGGATTTATATCTTGCTTCAAGCTGGGGAAGTGCTTGGAACAGGCAGGCAACAGCAAAAGTCATCGATTAGGCAGATGCATAGAGATTGGTTCGCTGTTCTAATGACTCATAGCGACCTCTCCCTTCGTTTGGCTGACCGTTCAAGCCTTTTTCTGAGCATCGAACAGAGAGTATTGTGGTTGATGATTTGTTGTGCCAAGTTGGCATTTAGGGAGCCATAAGAAGAAGCACTGCCTTGGGAACATTCCACCGATGCCGAAGCACTGTAGTACTAGTATCCTCACATACGCAACTGGTCAACGCTTTGGTCTGAGAACTTCTAAGGCTAGAAAAGGCCCGCCCGAGGGAGGTAGCAGACTGAATGGCCCGCTCCTAATATGTTCAACGCCTTGCATGACTAGGATTACACCAATCAAGAGAAGGCGACTACAGATCGCCCACAGAAGGAAAATTCGACCAGAGTACGTTGAAGCTCTCTTCGCGCTCAACCAGTGCTCCGCTGCCATGATTACAACAAAACCATGCCCGCACCTGACACGATGGCGCAGATGGCATAAATGCCCACCTGTACCGAGCCAAGATTGAAAGACGCCTGTGCCACTCCGCCGGCAGCAGCACCTCGAGAAGTTGAACTGGAACTGGAACCAGACGAACCAGATGTTGGCGTTGCGCTGGTACCGTCTCCTACTGCCTGGATTCTGGAAGAGCACGTCCCAGTAGCCACAGCGGACTGACGGGTGGCTGAGCCGCTAAAGTTACAGCCGTCTTGATTGCCGGCGTCTCTCTGTTGTCGATCGTACGTGTCGAGAGCAAACGCCAGTTGCTGACGGCCCTCGCACATGCCGTACGCACCATATGTGCCATTTGGAGGAGATGCGCTAACACCAGCACATGGATTACCAGGCAGACCGCAAACAACGCCGAAAAGCTCGCCAATCTCCTCATCGCTGACGGACTCTGCGACAGTACAAGTGACAGCCTGGGCCATGCAATCACAGAGGGCGGAGTCGGGAGTAGGCGGTAGTGCAGAAGCGGCCTGCCAGGCGCTACCAACAGTTGGGCAAGCTGATGGTACGGTGTTGGTTGGTGTGTATTGATCCATGTTAACACCAGAAGGTGTGACGGCAGCAATTTGGCTGGAAAGGGCCGTGAAGTCTGCTAGCCTGCTGACATCATTGCCATCAACAGAGACCAGACCTGGCGAAATCAGCAACGGGTTTGGTTGTGTTGAAGGTGAATGCAAGCTTACCATAATCATTGGCTTCCTGGAAATACATGTAAACGATACCACCGGACCAGACGGGTGTCATTTGGTCACCATACAGAGCACCCACTTCGGTAAATGGTCTGGGCTGAACTTGATTGCAACCATACTCGGCGAAAAAGACAGGAACGGTGTAGCTGGAAAACTCGAGGGTGCGCTGGTCAAAACCAGACTCTTCGTAGCTAGAATCCCCACACCAGGAATAGATATTGTAGCCCCAGAAATCGATGCTCTCCTCCGCAGGTCCACAGTTGAAGTAAGCTTCCATGTCCGATCGAATTTCTGCGTCATCGTTCGTTGCGTACCCGACACCCATCGGCCGGTAATTCTGATCTCTGATATACCTCTTCATGTCACGGACTGCAGCCTTTACGAAGGCACTGGCATTAGTGTTGGACATTTCGTTTGACACCTCGTTACCAGCGAAAAACCCAAGGGTATTGGTGTACTGCGACATCAGGTCGACAACGGAGGTGTATCTGGCGTATAACTGGCTATCCCATCTCGGCTCCGCCCGATTGATGGAAGTTCGAGGCTCAGAGAGATCGGCGATCACGTAGATACCGGCATCGGTGAGCAGTTGCATGCATTCCGTATGGTCCTGTTCAGGGTTGATGGCATAAACACGAATGGTGTTGGTTTGCAGCTCCTGAAGAAGGGGAATGTCTCGTCGACAGGCAGCGGCATCGGTAAGAGGATCTTGGTAGCTCGAGTCGGTGGATGTGCTGCCATTTCCACCTCCTTGGATATCCTGTTGGTAAGCCACTCCCTTCATGAAGAATTGTGTTCCATTGCTTTCGTAGAAGAATTTAGACCCCTTGATGACAATAGGATCAAGCTGCGCCAAAGCTGACGATGCTAGTAGAGCAGTGGCCGCTAAGGTAGTGGTGATAGTATTAGAGGCTTTCATCGTGACGGATGCCACTGCAAAGGGAGGCTGAGAATGGTAGCAATCTGGCTGCGGAACTCCGCTGATGATGGAGGAAAAGGAGACGGACGCGACTCTGCGATCACGACGGGTAGGCGCTACCAGGAGGTGCAATCAATATTACAACGAGAGGAAAATGGTCAAGCTATGAACGAGTGTGACGAAGACAAAATTGTAAAAGGATTGCAATTAAAGATTCTTCAATTCGCAATTGAGTGAATGAGAAGGAGATGAAGAGTAAACACAACACACAGTGCCCTTGTTGTGCCGCCAAATAAAATGGTTGACCCAGGGGTCTCTAGTTAGTAGTAGGCTACGGGCTTCTGGAAAGGGAGGGCGGCGCCAAATCAGCAGTTTTCTCAGCATCCACCCCACTAAAGGCTTGGGAGACAACCCTTCCGGGGGACGCGGCCTTCTCTCACCATATTCGGTGGAGCAACAGAGGCGCGTCGACCAGAAAGGACGCGCAATCACTACCATCCAGGGTGACACATCTAGATCAATACTTGACAACGCAGAACGGCTATTCGATGCTCATCGCATTTAACATACGGACTATCTTCACTTCTGGGGTATCTGCAAGCTACTCCGGTCGAACTCGGATGGTGGATTTGGTGACAAAATTTGATATGGTGTTCACTGAGCACCACTTCACCGCGTCTGAAGCAAGATGGGACGCCGAAAGTCTGCGTATGTTGCGCATGCATGCTAAACATCGCCAAGAGTTTGCGGACTCAAGTCTTGATTTTATGGGCTATTTATTGTCCGATGCTCTGTGGTAGGCTTTCGTGGGAAGGATATCGCAGCATCTGCATATGACGATAAAGCACACGTCCCTGTACTCCTGTACCATATCAAAACTACCGCGTATGGATACGGAATACTGTTACCAATTAGTATCAAACAGTAACGATTACAAAAATAACTATTGCCAACTTCAGAACGTCACAGCCAATTCGATCATCGTTGCTATTCCTGTTGTCGGTGCAATTAAATCACGGTACGGAATACCCACTGATCATTGCTGGCTGAGGACCAGCTCTCTCCTTTCCACTAATTTAAAGGACCAATAGAGATGAGCCCACGCTTTGATTACCACTTTTAGGAGCCTATCCTTGGACCGAGCCCCTGAAATGGACTTGCACGGCTGGAGAAGTATTCCCGAATGGAGCCAGGCCGCTTTTGGCAATCGCCACTCCTCATCAATCTTAATTCTTACCACTGACTTAGATTTCCGCCAATCTTGCAGAATCCCATCGCTTCCACGGCATATTTGATGTGCATCCTGTTTTTTATGGTAGCCTTTCTGGCATTGGAGATGGCAAAATCTCTTCATATCCCGGAACTCGTGATGGTACGCGGAGGCCTTGCCTGAAACATCTCGACAATTGGTTGATTGTCCTGTTGCTTCCTTACTACGTAAATTGTGCTGTCATTGCGGTCAAGGTGCTACCTCAGATCGACAGTACACAGCCACTCTTCATACGACTACGTACGTAGATGCCACATCCAGCTGGGCATCTGTCTTCGCTTAGGTGAACACCTCTGCATTATTGGTACGGTAGTTGGTAGGGGCCTCCCTGGGTTGAACTGCCAAATGGCATGCTGGGGCTAGGTGATTGAGAAGCCAACCATCGTCTGTGAGATCGAATGTATGGTAGGGTCTATCTAACGAAGATTGCTATGCGACTTAGGTTATCTCAAGGTCGTGAGATATACCTCAGTAACCTTATGTCGCCATTTTCATTCCTTCTCGACTTTTCATACGACTCGGATGCTGGAAGAGGCGATATCGCTTACTACGTATATCATGGTAAACGTTGAGTAGGTGGCGCCGCCCAATGCCGGCCCAAAACCACCCATCCTGGTGAGTTTCATGTACCCAAAGCCACCAGGAACCGTTACGACTTGGCCAGCAAATATACTAGTGCATCGTTATGCATGATGACCTCCGTCATAAGGGTAATGCAAGCCGACGACTGGCTCTGTCGACCGATGCTCGGCTGATCAATGATCAAACCAAGAAACCATCCAGTCTCCAGAACAAGTTGTCATGTTTCAACGTGCCACAAGCCTGTGCAAGAGGCAAATGCGCGTACAAAGTACTCGCTTGCACTTTGATGCTGAAGCCTGTTCAGTTTTTTCAAACAGAAATTTATCGAAGTGGTGAGCGGTCTCAGATCTGCTGCATTACTATGTCCCTTTATAGTTGCTTAAACCAGATGCAGCTTCGCAGGCCGGGTTTGTCTCGCTCATCAATGCACACAAATGCAGCCTACGCTTCGTAATCACACTATTTGTACGACTCTCACGGCTGCCAAAATGACTAGAGTAACAGCATCTTCAGATGTTGAGGTGATAGCGCCATACCGGTATGGTATCAGGGTTATGGATGGGCACATTAGTTCAAGCGGCAAAGGCTTCCAAGCCCCCCCCTGTAACTGGCTTTGTGGCATTCGTGCCCTGTAGTTAGCTTTAGTTGCTACTTTAGTTTAAGTTAACCCGTGTCTTGCTTTGGAGTTTGTCCACCCCAATTTTTTTCCGCTGGCTAAGACCTGGTCAACCAACCAAATCCAGCTTCTCCTTTTCACCTCAAAGCGACATCTTTGCCATCCACCTTTCGCTCAGACCTTCTCTTGACTGATACACTTGCTCCTTCATCACTGTCGTTCTTCGTCCTCGTTAATCTTTACATTCGCTTGAGGAAGGCAGGTGAGCATTTAGGAGGACTTCTGGTGGTTGATAGGCCTCAGAGCTCACGACCGCCCGCCACGCCAATCGCGACCGCGCAAGCTTCTACGCATTGGCTCAGCAACGCAATCTTTCCCCCTTCATTCGTTTTTTGACAACAACACCCCACCACACGAATTGATCACATCTGATCGTGCAGCCGAAATACTTGATTTTCCAGCTGGCGAGCAGCTGGTCTAAGCAAACAGAAAGTACAAAATTACAATTTTCCTAGGCCAGGAACAATCGCTCATCGACCGCTGAGACCATTGATCCGCCATCTCCACGCTCGCTCCTACTTTGATCACAACAAACTAATAGCACTTTGTAAATTTGATCGATCGATTTGGCAGCCCTCGCTCCTTGGTCATACAGAACTGTTTTCATGGGCAAGCTTTGTTGTACGTCTTCCGCCAATTCTGCAAACCTTGTCTCCACATATTATGCAACAAATCTCAGCACCACGCGACCTTCTCTGCAACCAAATTTGAACCCTTTACTGACACATCTCGATTTCTCCAGAATCAAGACCGTCCTTGAAGATGTCGGGCCAACCGCAAGGTCATTATGATGATGGCTACGGCCAGGAGCAATACGCCCACGATGCTCAATATCGTGATGATCACAACCAGGGCTATAACGATCAATATGACTACAACCAGCAGCAACCAGTTGCAGCAGATGGTTACTATGATGAATCGTGAGTCTCTCTTGTGCGTCCGTGCGTTCAGAAGCGCTTACGAAGATTTCCCAGTGGTTACTACAATGCCGATGCCAATAACCCCTACCAGCAAGATGGCGGATACTATGAAGGTCATCAACAAGGCTACCAGGACGGATATTATGATGACCAATATTATGACCAGGGAGCTGGTGGTCATCAGCCACCCCATCAAGGACAAAGACGGCGGAGAGGTCAAGATTCAGAGGAAGATTCTGAAACTTTCAGCGACTTCACTATGAGGTCTGATATGGCCAGAGCCGCAGAAATGGATTACTACGGACGTGGAGATGAGCGTTACCACAGCGGGTATGAGAGCCAAGGTGGTCGCGGCTACCGACCACCTTCTTCACAAATCTCTTATGGAGGTAACCGATCTTCTGGCGCCTCTACTCCGGTCTACGGCATGGAGTACGGCAATGCACTTCCTGCTGGCCAACGTTCTCGAGAGCCGTACCCTGCATGGACATCCGATGCTCAGATTCCTCTGTCAAAGGAAGAACTCGAAGATATTTTCTTGGATTTGACGGCCAAATTTGGTTTTCAACGAGACAGCATGCGGAACATGTACGACCACATGATGACACTCCTAGATTCCCGTGCATCTCGCATGTCACCAAACCAAGCTCTTCTCTCGCTTCACGCTGACTACATTGGAGGTGATAATGCAAATTACCGCCGATGGTACTTTGCTGCACATCTCGATCTTGACGATGCCGTCGGCTTCGCAAACATGAAGTTAGGGAAAGCCAACCGCAGAACGCGCAAAGCTCGTAAAGCAGCCAAGAAGAAGGCAAAGGAGAATCCTCAGAACGAAGAGCAGACCTTAGAGTCTCTTGAAGGCGATAACAGTCTGGAGGCGGCCGAGTATCGTTGGAAGACCCGCATGAACCGCATGTCTCAGCATGAACGCGCTCGACAGATTGCTTTGTACCTGCTCTGTTGGGGCGAAGCCAACCAAGTTCGCTTCATGCCTGAGGCTTTGTGCTTTATCTTCAAATGCGCAGACGATTATTTGCAGTCCGCAGCATGTCAACAGCGCGTTGAACCAGTAGAGGAGTTTACCTACCTCAATAATGTTATTACGCCTCTCTACCAGTACTGTAGAGATCAGGGTTACGAGATCGCAGAAGGCAAATACGTCCGTCGAGAACGAGACCACAATAAAGTTGTCGGCTATGATGATATCAACCAGCTTTTCTGGTATCCTGAAGGTATCGAGCGAATCGTCATGACCGACAAGTCACGCATCGTTGACATCCCTCCTGCCGAGCGATATCTCAAGCTTCAAGAAGTGAACTGGAAAAAGGTCTTCTTCAAGACGTACAAAGAGACTCGCTCCTGGTTCCATATGTTGGTCAACTTCAACCGTATCTGGATCATCCACATCACCGCCTTCTGGTTCTATACTGCCCAAAATTCTCCAACTCTCTATACTAGGGACTACAAACAGCAAGTCAACAATCCTCCTGAGAGAGCTGCTCAGTGGTCTGCTGTTGCCCTCGGTGGTGGTCTTGCCTGCCTGCTAAACATCATCGCCACAGTATTCGAATGGGCATATGTTCCTCGGCGCTGGGCTGGTGCACAGCATCTAACAAAGAAATTGCTGTTCTTGATCGTCATGTTCGTCATCAACATTGGACCTAGTGTTTACATCTTTGGCATCCAATCCACCGGCACCATCGCAAATGCTATTGGAATAGTCCAGTTTGTGATTGCGCTTGCCACGTTCTTCTTCTTCTCGGTTATGCCCCTCGGTGGGCTTTTCGGGAGTTATCTGACCAAGAATTCACGTCAGTACGTTGCCAGCCAAACGTTCACCGCGTCATATCCTCGACTGAAAGGCAACGATATGTGGATGTCGTACGGTTTGTGGGTCCTAGTCTTCGGTTTCAAATTTTTGGAATCCTGGTTTTTCTTAACCCTTTCCTTCCGTGACCCCATTCGAATTTTGTCGACAATGACGATCGGAAGATGCGCCGGCGACAAATATCTTGGCTCCACGCTTTGCTATTACCAGCCAAGAATCCTGTTAGGGGTGATGTTCTTCACAGACTTGTGCTTGTTCTTCTTGGATACCTATCTGTGGTATATCATCTGGAACACCGTATTCTCTGTGTCCCGCTCCTTCTATCTCGGCGTCTCTATCTGGACTCCCTGGAGGAACATCTTTTCCCGACTACCGAAGCGTATCTACTCCAAGGTTCTGGCGACCACCGACATGGAGATCAAGTACAAGCCGAAGGTGCTTATTTCACAGATTTGGAACGCCATCGTCATTTCCATGTACCGTGAGCATCTTTTGGCAATCGACCACGTCCAAAAGCTGCTCTACCATCAGGTCCCTTCCGAGCAAGAAGGCAAACGCACACTTCGAGCACCCACCTTTTTTGTCTCTCAAGAGGACAATTCTTTCAAGACTGAGTTCTTTCCAACACAGAGCGAAGCAGAACGCCGAATCTCTTTCTTTGCCCAGTCTCTATCAACTCCCATGCCTGAGCCTTTGCCAGTGGACAACATGCCAACTTTCACTGTTCTCATTCCCCATTACGGCGAGAAGATCCTGCTCTCACTCCGGGAGATTATTCGAGAAGATGAACCATATTCGCGCGTCACACTTCTTGAGTATCTGAAACAACTGCATCCTCATGAATGGGATTGCTTCGTCAAAGACACCAAGATTTTGGCTGATGAGACCTCTCAATTCAATGGAGATTATGAGAAGAGTGAGAAGGACGCTGCCAAGAGCAAGATTGACGACCTACCCTTTTATTGCATCGGTTTCAAATCTGCTGCTCCTGAATACACTTTGCGTACCCGGATCTGGGCATCGCTCCGATCTCAAACTTTGTACCGCACCATCTCTGGTTTTATGAACTACAGCCGTGCTATCAAGCTATTATACCGCGTTGAGAACCCTGAGGTTGTTCAAATGTTCGGTGGCAACTCTGACAAACTCGAGCGAGAGCTTGAACGCATGGCTCGACGCAAGTTCAAGATTGTGGTTTCAATGCAACGGTATGCCAAATTCAAGAAAGAGGAGCGAGAGAACACCGAGTTCTTGCTTCGTGCTTACCCAGATCTCCAAATTGCGTACCTAGATGAGGAGCCACCTTTGAATGAGGGTGAAGAGCCTCGCCTCTACTCCTCACTTATCGATGGTCACTCGGAGCTCTTGGAGAACGGTATGCGCCGACCGAAATTCCGAATTCAGCTTTCGGGCAATCCAATTCTCGGTGATGGCAAGTCTGACAATCAGAATCATTCGATCATCTTCTACCGCGGCGAGTATATCCAGCTTATCGATGCCAATCAGGACAACTATCTCGAAGAATGTCTCAAGATTCGAAGCGTCCTGGCAGAGTTCGAGGAGATGACCACCGATAATGTTTCCCCATATACCCCCGGTCTTCCACCTTCGGGAACTGCACCTGTTGCTATCCTTGGAGCGCGTGAATATATCTTCTCGGAGAACATTGGTATTCTTGGTGATGTTGCCGCAGGGAAAGAACAGACATTTGGCACACTATTTGCTCGTACGCTCGCACAGATTGGTGGCAAATTGCATTACGGCCATCCCGATTTTCTGAACGGTATCTTCATGACTACCCGAGGTGGTGTCTCCAAGGCGCAAAAAGGCCTACACCTCAACGAAGATATTTATGCTGGTATGAACGCCCTGGTCCGTGGTGGACGCATCAAACACTGTGAATATTATCAGTGTGGCAAAGGACGAGATCTTGGGTTCGGCTCCATTCTCAATTTCACCACCAAGATTGGTACTGGTATGGGAGAGCAAATGCTTTCTCGTGAGTACTATTATCTCGGCACGCAGCTTCCCCTCGATCGCTTCCTGTCTTTCTATTACGCGCATCCTGGCTTCCACATCAACAACTTATTCATCATGCTCTCGGTACAGCTTTTCATGATCTGTTTAATTAACCTGGGGGCGCTTCGCCACGAGACCATCCTCTGCAGTTATGATCGAAACGTGCCAATCACAGACCCACTGTATCCTACTGGGTGCGCAAACTTGACGCCTATCCTGCAGTGGGTCGAGCGTTGTATCGTCTCCATCTTCATTGTCTTCTTCATCTCTTTCATCCCGCTCGTGGTGCAAGAATTGACAGAGCGTGGTTTCTGGCGGGCGGCAACTCGGTTGGGCAAGCAATTTGCATCTGGTTCACCGTTCTTCGAAGTGTTCGTCTGTCAGATCTATGCCAATGCTTTGCATCAAGATCTGTCCTTCGGTGGAGCTCGCTACATCGGCACTGGTCGTGGCTTTGCGACAGCCCGCATTCCATTTGGTGTTTTGTACTCCCGCTTCGCTGGACCATCCATCTACTTCGGTGCTCGGTTATTGATGATGTTGCTGTTTGCGACAATCACAATCTGGGGTGCTTGGCTCATCTACTTTTGGGCCTCTCTGCTGGCTCTATGCATCTCGCCATTTTTCTTCAATCCTCACCAGTTTGCGTGGAACGATTTCTTCATCGACTATCGCGACTTTCTGCGGTGGCTGTCTAGGGGTAACTCTCGATCGCACTCATCCTCATGGATTGCTTTCTGCCGCCTGTCAAGGACCCGCATCACTGGTTTCAAGCGCAAGGTCCTCGGTTCCCCATCGGAGAAACTATCTGGAGATGTGCCTCGTGCTCATTTCACCAGCATTTTTTTCAGTGAGGTGGTTGGGCCATTGGTTCTGGTTGCGGTCACGCTGGTCCCCTATCTGTTCATCAATGCTCAGACCGGAGTGCAGGACAATCCAACGCCGACTGGCTCACTGATTCGAGTGGCAGCGGTAGCCTTCGGACCCATTGCTATCAATGCTGGTGTTCTGCTCGGTTTCTTCGGTATGGCTTGTTGTATGGGTCCTCTCCTCAGCATGTGTTGCAAGAAGTTCGGCTCCGTCCTCGCTGCAATTGCCCACGGAATCGCTGTTATCATGCTTCTGGCCTTCTTCGAGGTCATGTTTTTCCTCGAAGGCTGGGTCTTCGCTAAGGCACTCTTGGGAATGATCGCCGTTGTTGCTCTGCAACGTTTCATTTTCAAGCTGATCATTGCTTTGTGTCTTACCCGTGAGTTCAAGCAAGATTCTGCCAACATTGCGTGGTGGACCGGCAAATGGTACTCGATGGGTTGGCATTCCGTATCGCAACCAGCACGTGAATACGTGTGCAAGATCACCGAGCTGGGAATGTTCGCTGCCGATTTCATTCTTGGGCATGTTTTACTTTTCATCATGCTGCCTGCTCTCTGCATTCCATACATTGACAAGATCCACTCTGTCATGCTCTTCTGGCTTCGCCCAAGGTATGTTTCTATGGTATCTTTTTATCTGGTGATCGGAAGCTAACAGCCCTACAGCCGTCAAATTCGACCTCCGATTTACTCGCTTAAGCAATCCAAGCTTCGGAAGAGGAGAGTGATTCGCTTCGCGATGCTCTACTTCATCATGCTTGTTATATTTGTTGCGTTGATCGTTGGCCCTGTTGTTGCCCGAAGATTCATCAATATACCTAACGGTATTCCCATGGACCTACTCCAGCCTACTGGTCAGAACAACAACGATACCCTTGGGCGCACCCAGACCGGGACCGCTCTGCTTGGTGGAGGTGCCGCAGCTACTGGTGGCAGTGGAGCCGCTGCAGGCACTGCAGATGGGGGAGCACCCGCGACGACAAGTTCTCCATTTGATCGAGCAAGATTCATCTAGGTATGGCTAGCACCGGCATTGCTATGGCGCGCAGTCATGGTGCATCTTTGTACACTCTTGTGCAAGCAAAAATCAGGCGGAGATTAGGCGAATGCCCTCATCAAGTAACTAATGATTCAACTTTCTGCTCTGTGTTCGTTGGGCTGCGGTATCTGAATGACCGACACGGTATAGAACTTTGTGGCAAACATCCTATTCGCTCTCCCGGCTCCAGCCACAAAGCAAATCGATCATTTTCTCATTCGAGGTCGAGCTATGGCTCGCTCATTTTCAGGTCCTGGAACCATCAGGGAACGGCGTTTGCGTGTAAGCTCGAACTACTCTAGAGATAGTGTGTACTGTACATTCAATTACAATAATTGAGAACATGAACTCCCCTTTGAAAGTCCAGATTAGGTTTAATAATCATGCGCCTTGAAATTAAATCTTGGGAAAGGGTTTAGAAGTTGGCTTTCTTCCTCTCCTTCAGGTTGGACGTTGCGTAATTGAGCTTTGACTTCATGCCCGTTTGCTTCATCTTTTAGGTAGCTGAGCATGGACAGATGGATTTCCAGGAAGCCCAAACCCATCTGTTGATCATCCTCGGACGATTGTCGCAAGAATTTCATAAGCTACCTGGCTCTGCCATCCTACTCCGCTACATCAGGTCCAGTTACCAGAACGATCCTATCCGGTCTGCGGTCGAGCTTTTCCTCGTCCTTTTCGCTGTCAGATATCTACTTGCGCCGAAATACTCAACCAAGCCGAATTATGTCACGCTGTCAGAGGAGGTGGGTTGTTGAAGAAGAACTTGTAGACAACTCTTTGACTGACACTATTGGATGAGAACAGGAGGTCGACGAGTTAGTCGAGGATTGGACGCCCGAACCGCTCGTGGCGAGGGTGACACCGTTTGAAGAGGCAGAAATTGAAAAGAGACCTGTCATTGTAGGGTACGTCAATGCCTAACGTGCCTAGTCTTTCGGGTCGACGACCTTTCCCTTGAGACTTACCTCCTCCGCAGTCCCACAGGCCCACGTTCGAAGCTCTCCAATGGCCGGACCGTCACGAACCTTGCCTCCTACAATTTCTACAACTTCGTCTCCAACGAGCTCCTTAAAGAACGCGCAATACAGACCCTGCGGACCTATGGGGTTGGGCCATGTGGACCCCCGGGTTTCTATGGCACTCAAGACGTCCACATGAAGATTGAAGCTGATATTGCTGCTTTCTTGGGCACCACAGCCTGCATCATCTATGCGCAGGCGTTCAGTACGATTAGCAGTGTCATTCCAGCGTTCAGCAAAAGAGGGGATATCATTGTTGCAGATAGAGCTGTCAATTATTCCATACGGAAAGGCCTGCAGATCAGTAGGTCTACGGTGAGATGGTACGAGCACAACGATACAGAAGATCTGCAGAGGGTGCTAGCGAAGGTCACCAAGGAACAAAGCAAGAAGCCCCTGACCAGGAGATTCATTGTCACCGAAGGCCTGTTTGAGAACGTGGGTGATCTGGTAGATCTGCCCAAGATCATAGAGTTGAAGCACAAGTACAAGTTTCGGTTGATCCTGGATGAGACATGGAGTTTTGGTGTGCTGGGGAGAACAGGACGAGGTGTGACTGAACACCAACATGTTGATGCGGCGGAGGTGGACATGATCGTGGGTTCGATGGCCGGTCCACTGTGTGCTGCGGGTGGCTTTTGTGCCGGCTCGGATGAGATTGTTGAGCATCAACGATTATCTGCTGCTTCCTACACGTTTTCTGCAGCGCTGCCGGCCATGAGTGCGACGACCGCGAGTGAGACACTGCTGATCCTACAAACTCAACCCGAGATTCTGAACGGGTTAAGGGAAAACATCAAAGCGATGTGGACTCAGTTGGACCCAAGGAGTGACTGGATGAGATGCATCAGCGCAGTAGAGAATCCAGTCATGTTGATGGTTCTTAAGCAGGAAGTGGTCAACCTGAGAAGGCTTGGCAACGATGAGCAACAGCATATCCTCCAAGATATTGTGGACGAGGTGAGCACACACCATGGTCCCTCCCGAGAGTCAATCCATTGTTCCATCCCATCGCTAACAACCTCACCATCTAGTCTCTCGCCCAGGGTGTCCTTATCACCCGCCACAAAACCATTCCCCCAAATCCCTCCGGCACCAAGAATGAAGTTTTCACGCCACAACCAGCGCTCAAGATCTGTCTGTCCACAGGCTTTTCGAAGAAAGAGGTCGAGAAAGCAGGCATCATCATCAGGCATGCTATCACCAAGGTGATGACGAGGAAGCGGTAACATGGCGACGCCATCGTCATTTGCACCGGTTGTTTGCGGATATATGTTCTTGCATTCTTGTACATACTGCGTCAATCTGATCGGAGGTGAAGGCCAATCTCTTTCCTTGGGCTCTAACCAAGCACCGGCTTCTCCATTCAAGAGACATTTGGATTGCTGGTGTGAGAGAGATGTCAAAGCACCTCTCAAACTCGTAATATTCTGTAGGAAGAGGTGAGATGGGTGTATAGAGCGTATCACTTCACTGTCTGAACTGGTGAAGCCCATGGGTGCCACGGTATCTGGACAGGGCAGTGTTGACTTCATAAGCAGTATCAGGAGAGGGAGACGGTCATACAGAGTAGAGGTACCGCCAGTTTGCAGGGAAGAACTGTCTTTTTAGAGCTATTTCGGCTTACATCCCTTCTATTTTCAAGGGCATCTTGTGCATTCTCAGCACAGCCAATGTGTTAGTGTTATAGAGCGTATCATCCTCTTTTTAGTTACTTGTATCGCTACAAACTACAGCGGACTATGGTTGGGTTAATGACACATTAAAAACTTTGAACTTTAAATCAGCTTTGAGTTATTACGGGAGCTATGTAAGTACGTTCTCACAGTATATATTGGTATTCTTTGTATGAATTACAGTTGTATATTGTTATAGAAGACTGTTGTAAATATTAACTAATGAATATAAGGTGTCTTAAGTAGAGAGTATCTTAAGAAGAGGATATAAGAAGAGGATATAAGGAGAGGGTGTAAGGAGAGGGTGTAAGGAGAGGGTGTAAGGAGAGGGTGTAAGAAAGAGGGTGTAAGAAGAGGGTGCCCTAGAGAGTAGGGCCCTCAAACAGAATCATATATACGGTACGAGGCATATTACATCGAGTGTGCATCCCATTAGCATCTACAACTACCTGGCTTGTTGCTGGCATTAATTGGAGTAGCTGTAGAATAAGATAGAGGGAGCTCAACACGTTGAATGCGGTAAATGAACCCCCAGAGTGGTATGTCATTCGTACAAGCGCGGCGGTAAGGGTATCTGTATGAAGGGAAAGGGTTACATTTACAATAGTAATATGTCTCCTACTGTAGTAACCCCTGTTGCTAGCTCAAAACTGATTGTAAGATTCAAAATTTTAACGTGTGGTTAACCCAGTAACAGTCCGCCGTAACAGCCTCATCTAGGCCTGATGAAACGCTGTCAATACACACAGAAACAGTATCACAACCGCCCAATCAAAGCTGTTGGTTGGTCGCCCCTGGCTCAGGAAGCGCCCCGAGTTAAATTGGAGTTCGATCTTTGCTATTTTCGACCACACCTGGATCTGAAAGAAAGACTCGAGATGACGCCCTTACTTGCCAATCGGGTGTCAAGTGGTTTCGGAAGTCGTCCTCGCCGTTGAAGCTCCCTGCGTCGCTTGGACGAAATTATCAGAGAGTCAGGTCGTTGGTGGATATCGTCTACCATGTCTGGATCCCGAGAGAAACCAAACTGGCGAAATCTCCTCGACTTACCTGTGGCTGCAGAGGTCTTACAGGTGTATATTGTAACTCTTGAGAGACAAAAGGCGATACTTCAATGGCAAGCTGAGCGTTTCTAAGACCAAGTCCATGGGCGGCTCTTTAGCGATTTTTGTCTCCACTATGTCCTTGCTTGTTGCCGCCGGTCTCAGTTGCTGCATTCGTTGTCGCTGAGGTCTTGAGCTGCATTCCTCCTTGCATTCTTTTCGCATGTCAAGTACCCCAGCTCATTTTCTGCCAAACCTCCCTCAAATTGGAGCGTAAGTGGACCTCTATTTTGCGGCAGCATACCAGCCGAATCGCAATCACATCTCTTTGTTGTGCACATTCCATTACTCGGTTGGTCTATACTACACATTCTTTGGGACGAACTCACGCCGTCGATGTTGGTGCTATTACTAATCCCGGCAACCAAGAAATCTGGGTGCGTTCCTTTGTCGAGGACCGGTTAGTCGCAACAGTCCTTAAATCCTCTTGGTTCGAGAGGTAGAGAATTCAACCATCACAACAAACAAACGCTTCTTGCAAAATAGGAAAGACGGAAGTTTGAAGCTACATGCACCTAAAGCCCGCTGGCCGGCGCAAAACACAGAATTCGCTCACTGCCTCCGATCTGAAGCCTAAGTCGTTTATTTCCGCGCGATTTCTTTTAACATGAAGGCTAGCATCTTCGCTCTATCAGCATTTTCGCTGATTCAGCTTGTGGCTAGTCAGCCTCATGGTAAGTACCATCCAATTTCTAACTTCCTGTTGGCAGGTCTAAAAGTTTACTTCAGGTCATCAGCAATTTCACAGGCGTGGTGTTGTGGTTACTGACTATGCCACGGTCACCTCACCCGAAGTAATTGTTTGGGTCTATGAAGATGGCCAGACCGCCAGTATTGAAACCCGAACACCTCGTAATCCAGCAGCAACTCCAGCTCCACAAAAAATAGTGCCAGAATTGTCAGCAGGACCTACACCAACCTTGCAGTCGGCCGTTTCTGACTCTGCTGTCCCTTCTGAAGCTACTCCACCGTCTCCAGTCCAACCATCCGCTGAATCATCCCCAACCGGCGAGTCAGCGCCTTCTCCACCTACCACCGAAGCTCCGCCTGAGCCAACGAACACCGAAGCGCCAGCTCCATCCTCGGAAGCTACACCTGCACCTGCACCATCTCCCGAGGCAGAATCTCCACCAGCTCCTGAACCAGCTCCATCTACAGAAGCGGCACCAGCACCTGCGCCAGCTCAATCCTCCGAAGCAGCACCCCCGCCCACCGAACCCTCCAGCACCGGCCTAGGAATCTGCTACTCCCCCTACAATGCCGACGGAACTTGCAAGACCCAGGACCAAGTAAACGAAGACTTCAACTCCCTTACGTCCTACAGCACCGTCCGCATCTACGGCGTCGACTGCAATCAAATTAGCACCGTCATCTCCGCCGCCTCTTCCAAAAACATTAAAATCTTCGCTGGGCTCCTCACCATCGCCGACGTAGCGGGCGACCTGGGCAACATGATCAACCAGCTCAACGGCAATTTCGACGGCACAATCACCACTATCTCCATTGGCAACGAGCTAGTCGACATGGGAAAAGCCAGCCCGGGCGATGTAGTGGCCGCTTTAGGGACGGCGAGAGATATTCTCGGAAAGGCCGGATACACAGGCTCGATTGTCACGGTCGATACCTTCAACGCCCTGATCGCGCATCCGGAACTTTGTGCGGCATCAGACTACTGCGCCGCGAACGCGCATTCGTATTTTGATCCTACGATTGAAGCTGCAGGTGCGGGCGAATGGGTCCAGAAGCAGATCGACCGCATCGCTGAAGCTGCAGGTGGTAATAAGAAGGTTGTCATCACGGAGTCCGGATGGCCTCACAGTGGGAATAGCAATGGTGCTGCGGTTCCGAGCCCAGAGAACCAGGCTAAAGCTGTTGAGAGTATTAGGGGCGCCTTCGAGAAGGATGTCTTTTTGTTTTCAGCGTTTGATGACAAGTGGAAAGCGGATGGGGCGTGGGGAGTTGAGAAGAACTGGGGGATCATGTAAAGGCATTTTGGATGCCTGGTGCCTTGGGGGAATGGGAAGGACAGAAAGAAGGGGCCTGGGCGAGACAGAGAGATGCTTTGGGGGATTACAATCGGATTGGGTTTGAAGTTGTTCTTGAGGTCACAATATGCCGGAACGGTGGGACCCACAGTCTGTGGGATAGGAACGGAGATTTCTTGTTTTTCTTCTACTGTATTATACCTATCTTTTTAGTATTTATTGGTCTTTCCTTTTTCTAGTTTTCGGACCTGGAGGAACTCCAAGAATCATTTGCGAATATTCATCGCTGCAGATGCAAGATTGCATGCTGTCGGATCTTAAAAAAAAAGAAAAGATGGCACGTTTATGTTGATACATCAAGGACACAAAGAACGTTTACTAGTTCCAACTAATTATTGACCGTGTGGCTCTGCAAGCACCTTGTTCTATTCGAAGATAATCATCATCATCACGGGATCGATAGCCTTAACACGATCATTCTGGAAACATAACCGCCTAATTCACCAGCCCAAAAGATCCATGGCAGCATCATCTGAGATGCCTGCCTCGGACTGCCAGGTTATTTGATGGCCCAGTGTGTATGGATAAGGTTCACCGGGTGTGATGTATAATTGATGGTTCTTGATCATGCTACATCGCGTTCGATTCTGATCTTATAGGGACTATTAGCCGTCACTGTTGGAGCTCCCTCTCTATAGGCCACGAATTACGCAGTGCTAAGTTCAGCTGGAGTTTGCTAGCGGCGCTCTAGGTTTAGCATATACTGATGACTTTTGATGCACGACTCCGTACAGCACAGTTCTGACGCGAAATTACAGCCACGCTATTCTTGAAAAGGCAGAGCCACCCATTCAGTGACATAGGGGATAACTCTTGCGGCAATAATATGCATATAATCAATCCTTGCAGTAGTAGTGCATACGTAGTCAACGAGTTGTGGCCTTCAGCATATCACAACGCTTGCGATACTTGGGTGTGTAGTCGACGGGATGTGGCTCTCGGCATACCTGCTTTACTAGTATGGAAGTGCGGTGCGATAAGTCTTGGCATTTCTGATATAATAGTACAGAAATGCCTGCTAATGACGTTATAAAGTCGTTGTCTACGCAGAAGCACATAAAATTCGTCAAGTAATTAAATTTAGTACATATTACAAGCAGGCTAGAAGGAGGACCGTAAGAAGTGTTAAATAATAAGCATAAGTTGTTGCTGTCAGAATCCTTGCGTATATGATACGTATCTGTTACGTATTAGCATGATGGTACAAGGGTCCCCGCATGCGAAACGCACGAAACGCTCTTGTAACTTTTACGCCCTGTTATTTATGGCAGTGAGCACTACTATCCCCCCACCGTCCCCCCCTCGGCCTCCCCCACGTTGCAGTAATGCGCTTCGATAGCTATTAGTGTGAGCAAATGCTCCTCTTGATAGGAGTAACTCAATCAATTTAATTGGTATCTCCGTACGCTATTTGCTACATCCTCTAACAGTTGCGAGAGGAGGAATACCGTTTTAGGCGATTTCTCGCGGTATTATGAGCTGTTGACCTTCTGAGAGGGCCAATTGGCCGCGTTTCATATGCGTAATCCCTGCGTTTCTACTGCTTCTAATTGGTCAATTTCCAACGCAATTTCGCTTCTAATTTCGCTGTACGGTACAGCCAATTGTACATAGATCTACGCTCTCTACACCCGTAGCTATGCACGCTCCCCCTCCTCTAGATAGATAGAACAACTTGCTTTCTACGTATCTCCTGTAGATTGTCACACAACTCGCAAGGACATCAATCCTACCAGGATGGGCTCTACAACAGCTGAATCATCAGAGACCGGCGTGGGAACCGATAGAAATCTAAACGAACCGTATTTTCAGTTCGAACAAGCTGGAGGCATATGATTGGGCAGAGTTTACTCGTTTTCCACATCACCGTGGTTCAACGGGATAACATAAATGTAGGGAAGAGTGCCCTGTGCTCTAGGAATACCGTGTCTGGCTCCTTACTTGACCTCAATTGCTGTGCAACGGCACCACGACAATGTTGGCATGGCACTGGATGATCTGCGCGAGGAGGCGCTCAACACACTTCAGCAAGCTATCGAATATTCTTTCGAGAAACAAAAATCGGACGGCCATTGGACCGAGGAATGCGTAGCAGATGTGACCTTTACTTGCCAATATGTCATGTTCAAGTATTCTGTCGGCCTTGACCTCAGCGACGCAGATGCATTACGGACTTGGCTATTAGGAGACCAGAAAGAGGATGGCTCTTGGTGTCTGGCCCCAACGCTGTCGGGAATGCTTCGACAACCACGGAGGCTTATCTCGCTCTGAAAATTCTCAATGTCCCAGCAGATCACCCGTCTATGCTCAAGGCGAGCGCCTGGGTGCGAAAAGCTGGAGGAGTCGAGAAGGTCAGGTTCTTTACGCGTTTCTTTCTGGCGACTTTTGGCTTGATCCCATGGTCTTCGATTCCCTCAGATGCCGGCCGAATTGATCCTGATGCCCCCGTCATTTTTCCTCAACATCTATACATTGTCCTCGTGGGCACGAAGTACCCTTATTCCATGTTTGATTATTCGCCACCACGATCCTGTATACGCGCTTCCTAACGGGCGGAGTGCCGATAATGATTTTCTGGACGAGCTGTGGTCCAATCCCAGGAATAAGAATATTCCATTCGCGTCTCCTTTGTCAACCATGCTATGGAAGGGTGACTACATTGAATATGGGTTCACGCTTTTTGATAACATTCTCGGGCTTCTAGGGGGACTAAAACACTCTCCTAACCGGGGTCTTGCCCGGAAAAAATGCGTCGACTGGCTTATAGAACACCAGGAAGTTCAAGGCGACTGGGCTGGATTTTTCCCACCCATGCATGGAAGTCCATGGGCCTTGATTGAGGAAGGATACCCATTTGATCATAAAGCTGTTGTTCTTGGACTCGATGCTTTGGAGCGCTTGTCTACAACTGACACACGCGGAAAGAGACTGGCACCCACTATTTCGCCTTTATGGGATACAGCTTTAATGATCGGGGCAATGTGCGACGCGGGCGTTGGGAGAGATGCCCGTGTACAAAAGGCTATCAATTATGTGAAAGAACGTCAACTTCTGGGCCCTGAAGGAGACTGGCGCATTTATAGTCGCAACCAACAACCTGGAGGATGGAGTTTTGAGTACTTTAATACGTGGTATCCAGATGTGGATGACACAGCAGTTGTGGTGATGTCTCTGATAAAGCAAGACCCATACTTCATTGAGTCAGAACGTATATCGAATGCGGTCACCTGGATGCTGGGCATGCACAATCGTGATGGTGGTTTTGCGGCATTCGATGTCGATAATGACAAGCTCGGGCTACACAAGATACCATTCAGTGACATGGATAGTCTCTGCGACCCAAGTACTGCTGACGTCACAGGGCGTGTTTTGGAATGCTTTGGACTTTTGCTCTCGCATAGAAAAGGATCACTGGACAGAAAGTTGCAGCTCCGGGTCCAGCTGGCTTCCGAGCGTGCGATAGAGTTTCTGCTAGCAAAGCAAGAGCCCTTTGGAGGATGGTGGGGACGTTGGGGAAACAATTACAATTACGGAACTAGCAATGTTCTGAGAGGTTTGGTCCACTTTGCACAAGACAGTGCAAAGGTTCAGCACATGGTCGATCGTGCCACACGCTGGTTTGAGTCGGTGCAGAATTCCGACGGAGGCTGGGGGGAAACCCTTGTTACCTACGAACGTCCAGAGCTGGCAGGTACTGGTGAGAGCACACCTGCTCAAACCGCATGGGGAGTTACGGCTTTGCTGCCGTATCGTCCAGCCTCTTATCCAGCAATTGAAAGAGGGATTCGGTGGCTCATTGCCAATCAAACTGATAAATCACTCATTGGTGCCACATGGAATCAAGACGTGTATCCCGGAACAGGGTTTCCAATGGTGCTCTATCTAAACTATCCGTACTACCATCACTATTTCCCGATCACGGCTCTGGCAAAATATCTGGATGGGACCCAAGGGTTAAGTTTCAAGCCTGTTGAACTTACTCTTAGAATTTCCGGATCTCTAAATCGTCCTTGCGTTCTTCTAATGGTTGTGGGAAGTCGTGGGGATGTTCAAGTATTCCTGCGTACAGCAGCGTTCCTTACCAGCTCATGCGGATATCGCGTAAGAATTGCGACACATGCAGAGCATCAGAAGCTGGTGGAAAGCAGAGGGTTCGAGTTCTACTGCGTGGCTGGAAGCTCAGCAGCATTTGCGAAGACCTTAACTACCAAGCCCAATATATTACTTTCTACCATCAAAGGCGACTTTGGGGTCTTAAGGCAAGCACTTATCCTTATGGTTTGTGGATTCTGGAGAGCCAGCATCGACAGCAATGAGAGTAGCGATTGCAGGAAGAAGCTCTCTCACCGTCCATTCGTGGCTGACTCAATTGTTTCGTGCAATTCAGCCCTCACTCATATCCATTGTGCGCAAAAACTCCAAGTGCCACTTGTTCTTGTCTCCCTGCAACCACAGCTGTCTACCAGCGAATTTCCTAATGCGTTGATCATGTCGGAACCGAATTATAGACAAGTCACTTTGGGAAATTATATTTCATTCATTTGTTTAGACATACTGTGAGTCCCTCAGTTAGACTTGGGCTTATTCAACCGACCTACTTACACCAAATATAGGAATTGGCTGGCATTAGGATACCACTTGAATTATCTTCGAGTGAAAGAATATGGTATGCCGGCTGTGTCTTGGACCTGGGCTGTATTTGATTTGGTGAAGATGGGAATTTCCCATTTTTGCCTGTGGTCACCTCATGTGCTTCCACGCCTAGCCGAATGGGACTCCAACGTGGCCATTGCTGGATATGCTTTCGATGAAGCGCCGAATTATACACCCCCGAAAGCTCTGGAAAGTTTCCTGGACACGGACAAGCCGGTGTTGGCGATATCATTCGGTTCAGCTGACATTCCCTATCCCGTGAAGCTGATGGCTATTGTCTTTGCTGCCGTGAAGAGAGTTGGAGCCAAGGCAGTTGTCTGCCGGAGATGGTCCGACATCGACGCTAAAATACCAGTTCCTGATCACATCTTCGTCATTGATGAGATTCCCTACGCATGGCTTCTGCCGCATGTCCAAGGTTTTGTTCACCATGGCGGTGCTGGGCACATAGGTGTGGGTTTGAAGTACGGTCTACCAACATTGGTTATCCCTTCTTTCTCGACCAGAGTTTTTGGGCCGCCAAGATTCAGCAGCTGGGACTGGGACCACCTCCACTAAACCACCGTAGGCTGACAGCTGAGACACTGGTGGCATCTTTGGAAGACCTGCTTTCAGGCAAATATCGTACCCACTGCATGGAAATGGCTTCAAAAATTGCTTCTGACAAGGATGGTGCGGAGGTAGTCGGAGAAACAGTCGTCCATACACAGAACTCCGTTGGAAAAGGCCTCTACTGCAGCATCATCCCAGAGTTAAGAGCACCATGGAAGCATACGAGTCTGTCGCTGCCCTTATCGGGCGCTGTGGCTGCCTGTCTGGTGTCCCGCAATATCTTACATTGGTCAGATTTGGAACTGGAGCCCACATTTGATTGGTCCGACAAAACTGCGCCTAGATCAGAAGGCATTGTTAAAGTGTTGAAAGTTCTTACACAACTCTTTGCTATGGTCACCTGGATCCTTTATGCCTTTCTGCAGTGGATCAAGCTTCGGAGCACCGAACATCCAGAGGATACATTTATTACCAAGAAGCGGGATCCGGTTCGGCAGGCGAGGATAAGACAGGCCCACTATGACTTGGAATTCATAAATGGCCATGATCTCAAAATGGAGGACGGGGCAAGCGTCGAGGATAATGAGCATGACGAAAGTAATAAGGTGACAGTGCGACTATATAATGCAGAATTACCGATATTCGCCATATCTATCAACCTCGAAAAATCATTCGCTCCGAATCGAGGTAGAATGTCCTCCCTCGTTGTGTTAGGGATTATTGGTCTCCAACTTGCCATTTACGGCTCTGGTCTTAGCTTTCACAGCAGCAGACTCGGTTCTTCGACTCGCTGCTCTTCCACTCATGCCCCCATGCAGCCACCTTAAACCTTAAAATACGTTATATTGCAAACATTGATTACCCTGCGTATCGAGCCATTCTAGGCGGCGGCGGAGGGTTCCTTACAACACTCTATATCAACAAAGCTCTTTTGGACAGGTGGTCATTTGAGGCAAAGGGGCCAACATCCTCTCTTGGCGGACTGACTTCGGCAGAGGTTGAGCTGGGTGGAAAAGGCGGGCAGATTTTAGGGAAAGAACTCGCTTTGGTCTCAGCATCAGTCTTGAATCCCGCTACAGAGTGACAGCAGAGTAAGCTTTGGCTGTTTAGACATGTCTTGCCTGCTTGGTTTTTGTCGCCTTACTTTCGGGTTGTGAAGATATAAGAATGTGTGTATATATACATCGCCCGGCAAAACCTCTAGCTCCGTCTCCTATATAACTCGGTTCATATTTTTGACAGCAGAATATTCTACTTTCTGGACGATAACTGTGAAAGCTAAGTTATGTCATAGCTTGGTTGGTGGCCAAGCCCCTTGAAGGCCAAGTCTTCCGGAGGCTCCGTATTTAGTACATAAGATGCTGCAGCCAAGCAATCTAACTAACTTAAAGCTTGCCAACAGCATCAACTGCAACCCAACCCGAGTTCAGATGTGCCAACAGGCAATTGTGAGGGCATTGTCCAACATATCTGTTGCGCTTATGTCCTCATCTGTGTTCCAGCTAACATTCAACAGTATCATAGCTGTTTGGCGCTCTTTTCTTGCTCCTTGACGGTAGTCTATATAACTGACTAGATGTTCCCTAGATAGCTAGAAGAAGCAAGCATTTCAACACAATCAGTAAGACACTTTTACTCTATTGACTCTAAACTATTTTTAGTCGACTTCTATCTATTTCCGTCTACCCCTTCTTCACAATAACTACTACTCGGATTGATTTTTTACTTCCACAACTATGCCCAACAAATCCTACAAAACCCATGATGCTGCCTCACACATCACAGGGAGCGGTGCATTAGCCGCGGGTGTGAATGGTTGGACCACGAACCCCATGGGCAGCAAATCATGAAAAACAACTCCAGAATGGTGGTTCACTGCGAGACTCGGCGGCATGGCGGCGAATCCGACAAAGGAGAACGGAGTTACCTGGTCAGCCAAGAAGAAGTAGAAACCCCTGACAAAAGTTCGACTGGATTACTGTCATGCGCCTGCTGTGCGCCCGTCAGACGCTAAATAGAGGCCATATAGCCGTCCGCAGGGCATAGATAGAATCAACACACTCGTTTACATTCAGAACTTGGTTTTTGTTGCCTTTGCGTCTTTTCTACGCCCATTTGTATCAGGCCGTGGCTGTCTGACAATTATAGATGTCTTTGTATTAACACAATTTTAAGAAACAGTTCTCTAGTCTTCCTTGTGTCTGTAAAATCGGGAGTGAAAAGGTGATCGATTCTTATGGACCTGCTGTGCAGAGTGTATAAAGATAACAAGCTGTCTACATAGAGGGTTACAGAGAGTAGAGATATATATGATTTGGCTGTACTCCGCACGTATACAGCAAAGTAGAGGCGGATGCTCTGACCGTGGTTCCATTGTGTAGCTGCCAAAGAGCCACGGACGTGGTAGTCGGATTGGCGAAATATGCTTATAGGCTTGGATTCCCTTCCCCAGGCACCGCTCCTATATGAAATTCCCAGAGGTTACCAACCCAGATTGTTTGAGGCTTCGTCCTTTCGATGAAGAGATGGATGTAATAGAGGCGGATATTTGTGTCGCCAGTGGATGGGTCGATCCAGGCCACTGCTGCTTTGGGGCTGCCCTGGAATTGCTTTGAGTTGAAAACATCGTCAGAAACCCTGCACTCATCTTTAGTCCATATCATTGATCTGATTTATCTCTCAGGTCCCCAAGGGCGAACCTTAAGTGACGCTCCACAGGATTAAGCTCATGCTGATTAGGTGCCAAGGCAATCCCACAAGCCACTGCACCTACTGCTGAGCCACATGGCGCTGTATCCTAAATGTCGAAGGATGCCCTGTACCTCCTCTCACTGGGGCCCGGAGGCCCAAAAAGATAGGGGCGGGTTTGCCAATACTGGGCTCACTGGTAACTAATTCCCGCTGCCATTCGCCGCCGAGACCGGAGCTGAGTGGCAGCAGTCAAGATCATTTCTGGCATTCTTGAGAACCAGGTATAACTTATAAGGGTAGAATGTTGTCTACGTACAGGAAACCGTCCCAAATATCTGCGATAGGAAGTTTCCACGGCGTTATCTTGTGGTGGATTGATGAGCACTCTGTCAGCCATTATTTATGCTCACCCACTGTGTCATGCGCCTGCCGTACGCTTGCTATGCGTCAAATAGAGGCCTTATAAGCGTCTGCAGAACATGGATAGAATCTACACATTAAACCACACAGAAATTGCCTCTTTCCTTCGTCCTTTGTTCGCTTTTCAGCCGTTAGAGCTGCTGTCTCTAACACACTGGCCCGAGCCCTTGGGTGAATCTTGTCTCAGCCCAGAGACCCCTCTACCCTTTAGCACGTGAGGTGAAGCTGATCTTTAATTCGGTTGATATTAACCGCATTTTTACAATTGCCCCTCCAGATGCCGGTTCCTATTGAACAATTGCCTAACTCTATATTCTCCATTTTTTCGCATGTACACGTTCCCTCTCTTCAATCCACCATTGGCGCTTGATGGATTGTACGCAAACGGCCAGCTCCGATGGATTTGCCCCTGATGCAACACATCTGCAGGTTCGTCCTGTTGATCATCGCCGCATGAAGGTTGGAGGCAGTGCCTGGAGCATAGTGGTTCGCCTGTTCTCATGCAACCTGTAAGGTATTGAATCCAATCAAGAGGTGCCGTTGTCCACCAGAATATTTGGCAAATATTCTGGAACCCTTGGCAAGCTTGGGGACTGTCCTGTCAGTCATTCGTGTCCCTTGATTGGGTTCAGTTCGTTGTTCTACCGAGGCAAATCAAAGAGTCTACATGGTACTTCTTCACGTTGTATCGACTTCTTCCTCTTGCGGCTGAGGCATGGTTACACGTGTATCTGTCCACTGGCTGTGTCTGCTGCATACCCCAAACTGCATTTGTACTTGCCTAAACAGGATGGATCCTCCGATATCACTTGACTTGAGAGCCAACAGCCTTCTTTTTCGCTTCTCCGCTGTGTTTGCTTATCAAAAAATAGCATCGAAAAGTACAAAAGGCTGCTCATCATCCCAAGGAATAATGTCCCCTGAGCGGGAACCAGTTCTTCAATCCACTGACAGACCTCCTTCAATTCTCCGCTCGCACCACATCCTCCCACTCCGCAAGCAGAGAGAGCCAATATGAAGTCCCCGTTTATCCTTCTTCCTCTCTTCCTCTCCATACTCAACACCAACGCCAGCCCCATCCCAGCCCCAGCTCCCGTCCCACCCAACATCCCCTCCGGCTCCACCGCACGCAGTCAGCTCGCGGCTCTTCGTGTAGCCCCTGTTGGCTCTCAGACCGGCTACAGCCGCGACCTCTTCCCACATTGGAGCACCCAATCCGGGACCTGCAACACCAGAGAAGTAGTGCTGAAGCGGGATGGCACCAATGTAGTTCAGGACTCGTCCTGCGCCGCGACCAGCGGCCGATGGTACAGCCCATTCGATGGCGCGGTGTGGACTCAAGCTTCAGACGTTGATATCGACCACATGGTACCTCTGAGCAACGCTTGGAAGGTGAGTTCGTCTCAGAAGAGGCTTTCCTGAGCTGGAAACCCTTACTCGATTGGGCAAGAAAAGCTGATTGCATTCCTCTACCTCCCTAGTCCGGAGCCTCATCCTGGACGACTGCGCGTCGTGAACAATTCGCCAACGACCTCTCCAACCCGCAACTCATCGCCGTCACGGACGATGTCAACCAGGCTAAAGGTGATAAGGGTCCCGAGGACTGGCGTCCACCGTTGAGTATGTTCAGTTTTCCCATTTTGTCCTTGCAATTCACAGCTAACTTCGTTCTACAGCCTCATATTATTGCACCTACGCCGCCATGTGGGTCAAGGTCAAGTATGAGTACAATCTGAGCGTTAATTCCGCGGAGAAGAGTACCCTGCAGTCTATGTTATCGGGCTGTTAGAAAAGATACTGAGAAGAGCGAGCGTTTGGGCTTGCGCGCTTTTGGGAAGTCCAAGATGTAGGGGCTGAGGGCCACTGTGCTGGGCGCAATGGATTGATGATACTACCTACATGCCTGTGACGAATCAGGACATGACATGGTGTTCTTTAAGATAGATAATTAAAAGGCTCTTCATACGATCTTTGAATTCCAATATATCATGAGAATGATAGGAGAGAGGCCTGACGAGGATGTTCGTGTTTTGTTGATCGATAAGGAGTAGACGCTCAGCAGCTAGCGAAGAAGAAGAAGAAGAACTCTAGACTACCCACGAAGCTAAATCAAGCGTAGAGAGGTGGCCTGCTAACCTTTTCAAGCAACTAAGTATAGCGTAGTAGCAATGTTTTTTTACAAGCTTCACCGCGACAGCAAAATCTCCGCAATCGAACATGAGCCGAAAAGGCCCTCCCCTCCCCCACCAAACCACCACACCAGCATCCACCATAACAATGCCCCACAAAGATCCTCCCAGCTTTAACTGATACCAAGTCATACAAACACCACCCCGGTCCTCCTGCCCACCCAGCCGCAATGTTATCCTACCTCCTCGCCAGCGGCAAGAAGCCCCGCTTCAAAGCGGAAGACGATGACGACCCATTCCCGCTCCACACCGATCCCAACACCCTCCTAAAACACGAAGCCTACAATGATGGTGACTGTCTCTCGTGTCGCGTCCTCGGTGAGTAACTACCACCCCCGGCCCAACCCCAACAACAAAACCCAATCAGCACACCCAGCCAGAAGAAGAGGAAGCGAAGGAAAAAGGAAAGAAAACGCAGTCTAGCTACTAACCATCACCGCGGTTTCAAATTCTACAGGATCAACCGCCTTCGTCGCGTTGGGCGGGTACAGCTATTTTAGCGGGATGAAGAGCCTACGGGAACGACGGAGGGTGATCGAGCTGAGTGCGTCGCGGTATAAGTACGGGTCGAGACAGTTGGGGATTGTGAGTCTGTCTGCGACGCTGGTGGGCTTGGGGCTGTACAGGACGGTTAATTAAAGCTATAAATACTATTTGATGCTGCGGGTGGCTAGGGATCGATATGGACATGCATTCATCGAAGTTCCTTCCACGACCTATACGAATGACGATCCACGAGAGGGAAAAGGCCGTCGCTCTCCTGCGCCAGAAAACAAAATCCAGATCATCCGCTTCCAGGCCCAATGGCATACCATATGCGTGGAATGATCAATGCTCGGCGCTATCAACGCTTCGTGTCCGGTCGTGAATGTCGTTGTTCGGAAGGCTGGGGAAGCCTGTCATGAACAGTCCATCGATCTATACAAATCGTCCTCGTTTCCCTCCTCCGTTCGTGCCGTCTCTTGAATTACCCATGTTGGATATGTCAAAGAACTCTGGGAGGTTGAGCTTCCGTTTTGTTCCACCAGCAAAGCTTGTGTCACGGTTTGTGGACCGAGTGTTATGTCGAGTGCTGTTGTGTCTGTTTTGCATCCTGGCAGCTCTGTTTACAATCTCCACCCTGAGGGAGCCGGGGCTTTGTGAGGGTGTTGCTTCAGAAGGAGGATCATTTGGCAAATGGAGATCGCTGGATGAGGTATCGGATGTCTGCATTTGGACGTCTCGGTTTGGCAAAGGGTGTGCTGCTGAGAAAGTGAACATGGATGGTCGATCCATGACTGGAGAATGACTCTCCTCTTTTCGAATGGGTGGTGGCGCGGACTCTGTACGTGGTGCGTTGCTGTCAGAGCTGGCATGACCACGTACTTCCAGGCCTTCATGAGCTGGCCTACTTTGCGTCATCGGAGAGGAACTCCTCGCTCTCTTTTCTATTTCTGTTCGGTCGTCATCGCTGTCGATAGAGCATCCCGTTGTGTCTCCGCCTTCAAACCGCTCCGTAGCCCACTGGCGAATCCGCCATCCTTCGCCATCTTGCAGTCCTAGGTTCTCCCTGTCCAGAAACGACAACAGATCATCTAGAGCATCCTGGTAGCCCAGATGACGAGTGTTGGCTTGGTCTGTCACCGTTGTCTTGTAGAGATTCGTGACAGAAAGAGCAGCGCTCTTGAACGCCTGCAGGAGCTCCGGAGCCTGTGATCGACGGGACCGTGATGTTGGTAGTGAGGTATTCAGAGACCTCATCGAGTCCATCCTGATCTCTGTCAAGGTAGATTTCCTATTGTTAAAGGTCGGAACTGGTTGGATAGAAAGACGTGATATCTGTTGCAACTCGAGGTCTGGGAAATATGTACTGCGGGTGCGGTGGGGTCGGGCTGTAGAAGCGGGAATGTATGATTGGACGAAGAAACGTTGGATGAGCTGATGCTAGATAAGTCGAACGAATGTGCTTGTGTAAAGAGCGTGCAGGTAGATAGTTGCAAAATCAATACTCGGGGCAGGTGGTATTTGTGGCTCCACAATTATAGGCTTGATGACGACTGACCAAAGGGCGGTTGAACGATGCTAACTTCACTTTTAATGTCCCTGCAGTGGTCACTATGTATCCGGCCTTGGCATCAAAAGGTGCGAAGATTCTCCGAACGCGGCCACCCTCCCTGTGAAAGGATTATACTCCTCCCCATTCACCTTGGGTAGCTAAGCTGACTTCACCGGAACATTCTGTTTCTCACGCCTCTTTCTTCTGTGAACTTTCTTGATGCTCGGTCCGCATTTTAATCAGGCTCTGTTCAGACGAACCTGAAAGCCGTTCTCATCGAAAAGCGACCTGCTCGTCGCAAGTAAGAAGGGAAACATGGTGCCGTCACGACCGCGTCCGCCTGACTCTGAGTCAACCTCTCAAGCTGACACCCCAATGACGGAAGCCAACGATTATCCAGCTGGTAGATCATTTCTGAGCCGCGTCGATGACTTGGATGGTTATCAAGACACACCTGACTACACTGATTCAGACACCAACCCAAACACCACTGCCAGTAGTGTTGCAGGGGATTTCCAACCTGATGGGCGAAAGCGAAGAATAGAGGCTTCACAACTACGAAAGAGCGTGCTGGGCAAGAAGCATGGACGTCTGGACGAATCAAAAGAAAATGATTCAATAAGAAGATTTCGCTATCTACTCGGTCTGACAGACTTGTTCCGCCACTTCATCGACACCAACCCGAACCCGCGCATCAAGGAGATTATGCACGAGATCGACCGGCAGAACGAAGAGGATGCTGCTAAAGCTAAGAAGGGTATCACTCGGAAGGGAGGAGCTGCAGCAAACAAGCGGAAAACCGAACAAGAGGAAGATGCTGAGTTGCTGCGAGATGAGAAGCGTGGAGGTGCGGCCCAAACGCTATTCCGGGACTCACCCGCCTTTATCCAAGGTGGGGAGATGAGAGACTATCAAGTTGCTGGACTGAACTGGCTTGTATCACTGCACGAAAACGGCATCTCAGGTATCCTGGCGGACGAGATGGGGCTAGGCAAGACGTTGCAGACCATTGCTTTCCTTGGCTACCTGAGACACATTTGTGATATCAAGGGACCTCATCTGATCACGGTACCGAAATCAACTCTGGATAACTGGCATCGAGAGTTCAAGCGATGGACGCCCGAGGTGGATGTGCTAGTTCTCCAGGGTGCTAAGGATGACCGACATGCTCTGATCAACGAGCGGTTGATCGATGAAAAATTCGACGTCTGCATCACCAGCTATGAAATGATCCTCAGGGAGAAATCTCATCTAAAGAAATTCGCATGGGAGTATATTATTGTCGATGAGGCTCATCGAATCAAGAACGAGGAGTCTTCGCTCGCTCAGATCATTCGAATGTTCAATTCCCGCAATCGTCTTCTGATCACAGGCACACCTCTACAAAACAACCTTCATGAGCTGTGGGCTCTTCTCAATTTCCTGCTCCCCGACGTCTTTGGCGACTCAGAAGCCTTCGATTCGTGGTTTACGAACCAACAAGAAGATCAAGATACTGTCGTCCAACAGCTACACAGAGTCTTGAGACCATTCTTGTTACGTCGCGTCAAAAGCGACGTGGAAAAAAGCTTGCTACCCAAGAAGGAACTGAATCTCTATGTCGGCATGTCAGAAATGCAAGTCAGGTGGTACCAGAAGATCCTGGAGAAAGACATTGACGCTGTCAATGGTGCCGGAGGCAAGCGAGAGTCAAAGACAAGGTTGTTAAACATCGTTATGCAACTTCGAAAATGCTGCAATCACCCATATCTGTTTGAAGGAGCAGAGCCAGGCCCACCTTACACCACGGACGAGCACCTTATTGAAAACGCGGGCAAGATGAAGATCCTAGACAAGATTCTGAAACGGATGAAAGAGCAGGGAAGTCGAGTACTGATTTTTTCTCAGATGAGCAGGGTACTTGATATTCTAGAAGACTACTGCGTTTTCAGAGGACACCAGTATTGCCGAATTGATGGTTCTACCGCTCATGAAGATCGGATAGCTGCCATTGACGAGTATAACAAGCCCGGTTCGGAGAAGTTCGTATTCTTGCTTACTACACGAGCCGGTGGACTAGGCATCAATTTGACTACCGCAGACATCGTCGTACTCTTCGATAGCGACTGGAATCCTCAGGCCGATTTGCAAGCAATGGACCGAGCACATCGTATTGGTCAGACCAAGCAGGTTATGGTCTTCAGGTTTGTCACTGAAAATGCCATTGAGGAAAAAGTGCTGGAGCGAGCGGCGCAAAAATTGAGGCTAGACCAGCTTGTTATTCAGCAGGGACGAGCGCAGCAGCAGGTCAAGAATGCTGCATCCAAAGATGAACTGCTCAACATGATCCAACACGGAGCTGAAAAGGTCTTCCAGACGAAAGGCTCAACTGGTATACTAGACGACATTGATGAGATCCTCAGGCACGGAGAGGAAAGGACAAAAGAGCTAAACGCCAAATATGAAAAGCTTGGGATCGATGATTTGCAGAAGTTCTCTTCAGACAATGCCTATGAATGGAACGGCGAAGACTTCACGAATCGCAAGAAGGAGATCGGCATAAGCTGGATCAACCCAACCAAACGAGAACGTAAGGAGCAATCATATTCCATGGACAAGTATTATCGACAAGCCCTTGCCACTGGTGGACGGACCACGGAGACCAAACCTAAGGTTCCTCGTGCTCCAAAACAGGTTCCAATTCATGACTGGCAATTTTACCCGCCAGAATTGCAGGAATTGCAAGACAAGGAGACTGCATATTTCCATAAAGAAATTGGGTACAAAGCCGTTTTACCCGACGGGCCTGAAGAAGAGCTCAGTGATCGAGAGGCCGAAAGAGAACTCGAACAACATCAGATCGACAACGCGGTACCCCTGACCGATGCAGAACGAGAACGAAAGGCCGCAATGTCAGAAGACGGCTTCGGAAATTGGAATCGACGCGATTTCCAGCAATTCGTCAACGGCTCGGCACGTTATGGTCGAACGGATTATGAAGGCATTGCCACGGAAGTTGACAGCAAAGAACCAGCAGAGATCACAGAGTATGCCAAGGTGTTCTGGAAGCGCTACACTGAAATCTATGACTACCCGAAACACATCAAGTCGATTGAAGCAGGGGAGGAGAAGTTGCAGAAGATGAATCACCAGCGCAAGATGCTTCGCAAGAAAATGGAGCTGTACCGCGTCCCGTTGCAACAGCTGAAGATCAATTACACTGTTTCCACGACCAATAAGAAGGTATACACCGAAGAGGAAGATCGTTTCTTGCTGGTCATGCTTGACAGATACGGAGTCGATGGTGAAGGTCTCTACGAAAAGATCCGAGATGAGATTCGTGAGAGCCCGTTGTTCCGCTTCGATTGGTTCTTTTTGAGTCGAACACCGGTGGAGATTGGACGACGTTGCACCACATTACTCAACACAGTTGCGAGAGAGTTTGACGGTCCCGAGAAGATGACGAATGGTCATGGCTCTGGACCTGGTAAGGGTAATCGCCGCGAACGAGAAGATGATGATGTGGAGAATGATGATGAGGTTGCGCCAGTCAAGAAGAAGGCCAAGAATGGTGTTGTGGTGAGTCATCCTCGGACTACTTTGCGTACTTGTCGTGCTAACAAACACGATAGAACAAACAGATTAAGGCGGTAAAAGGGGGTGCAGGAAGCAAAACCACATCGGCGTCTAGTTCTCGAGCGGCGAGTGTGGCCTCAACGGCAGCTAGCAAAGCAAAAGGGAAAAAGAAGTGAGTTGATGAAGGAGCATTTCTGCTCGCTAGGAGTTTGGAGGCTCGTTCCGCATACTTTCGTCGGCGTTGCTAGAACGAGTCATGATGGAGTCACCCGGCGGGAGATGGCAGTGGCAATGGACGATGAGATGTCAAGAGTCCTTCTATTGTGGGGCATCCAACATTGCATTGTATGAGTGGCACCAAGAGTACTTGTAGTGGAGTGGGTGTCCCCGTCATGCTTCTATCTCCACCACTACGCTAAATGCTACGGATAGCATAGCAGGCTCTTATCGGGCAGCAAGCGATCAAACATCAAGCATTTACTCTACTTTTTTGACTATGCCTTCAGAATTGTCGAGTAAAAACTTACCCTGTAATGTCGTCGGATCTGCATTTGCTTTGTCGCCTAGTGTCAGCACCTCGCTGTAAGAATATTGAGCCCTAGGCGACGAAGCGCTGACTCACCCTATGACAGTAAGACTGAGAGAATTGACTTCCTGGACAACTCAGATACAGCAGCTAGAGGTCATCAGGTAGGCTCCGGGACAGAAACTTTGATCAATGGTATTGAGACAGAAGTCCGTCTGGCTTCTGAGTTATGTAGTTGCATGTGACAATATCTGGTGGTAATTCTATAATGGTTGACGCCGAATGGAATTGTTTGAGCTTCAAGCCTGGTTCCTTGCGGAAGATAGTCCGAGCCAACGCTCAGCATGAGTGCAGTCATCGAAGCACTGTACGTCTACGATGAGCAAAAGTAAGTCGCCCAGCGTCGTGCTACTTATTACTGACATGGCACAGTAATTGTATCTTGGAGCACGTTTATCATGCTCGGCCTCCGTCCCCGAAATCATTGCTATCCCAATTCAAGGCATGCCCTGTTCCACGACCTGCACTCCTCTATCTCTCCGATCTATCTCCTGCCACGATAGTAGCGTCGGTATATCACTCAAACACACTCTTTCTCTGTCCTAGCAGTACAGACCAGAATGCGCTCACATTGCTCGAGTTTGTTCACCGGGTCATTGATGTCTTCGAGGACTTCCTTGGCCCGCCGCTGTTGGCCCACAAGATCGAGAACAACTACGATATCATAGCGCAGTTGTTGGGTGAGATCTGCGATGGAGGTGCGATCTGCAACACAGAGCCAAACGCTCTTCGGGAGAATGTCGAAGTTGCTGGCCTGATTGGAAAGCTGTTCACTCATGTTGGACTGCCTGGGTAAGTCACCGGTTGCGCTACCCAGAGAATTCGTCCATTTGTTAATCACTAGCACTACAGGTCCTCGCCGGCCCTTGGACCCTCGAATAATCTGGTGGCAAACCTCAAGGCAGGCTCGAATCTGAACAGTGGACCTGCTATTCCATGGAGACGCCCAAATGTCCGTCACACCTCGAACGAGCTCTACGTCGATATATTGGAGGATGTATCAGTCATCTTAGCGCCTTCGGGCAGGCCCATCTCTGCTGTCTCATCAGGCTCAATAGCGTTTACTGCTAAGGTATCCGGGATTCCTGAACTCGTGCTCACATTGAGCGCTCCTGGTGGATCAAGCAGCAGCAAAGTGACCAGCATATTTCGTGTTATGCAATCTCCAGTCTTCCATCCATGCGTCAGGCTTGCTCGATGGAAAGAGCGTCCAGGAGAACTGTCTTTCGTCCCTCCAGATGGACGATTTGTCCTTGCCAGTTACGAGGTCGATCTAATACCTTCTTATGGAGATGTTGACGCCCCACCCAGCAGAGGAGAAAAGCTCTTCATGCCTGCTATGGTAGATCTGCGAATAGGCCTCGGTGAAAAAGGCTCCGATTTTGAGGTTCGACTAACATTGAACACCGATTTTCCAGGAGCCTATACGTCCTCTAAACCCAGAACTCCGGGCACGTCGACCCCTTCCTTCTCTTTTGGAGGCTCAAGTTCAGGAAGCTCAAGTGCACCAACCCTCGAAGCAGTAGTGGTATCAGTTCCGCTGCCAGCTGGTGTGAGAAGGTTGGAGAACTTGCGACCTTCTAGAGGAGAGGCAATGTTTCAGCAATTCGCGCAGAGCGTCCAGTGGAAAGTGCCTACGAAAGATGGTGCGTCTGTGAGCGGTACTGCAGTTCTGTCTGGTACTGTAATCGGGCCCCTGCATGCCGGGGACGTCGAAGATGAGGACGAAGACGCCGAGACTAATAACAGTGTGACCACCAACCCTCTGCTGGGCTACTACGATGAAGATTCAGCAAACATCCCTGGAAAATCCTCAGCGCTCGTTGCATTAAAAGGCAACAAAGTTGCTTCGGCAAAAGATAAAATCCTTTCAGCTGCACAGCAAAAAGCAGCCCAGGCCAATAAGGCTCTTATGCCTAGGTCTGTGAATTTGTCATTTACTGTTCGTGGTTGGCTTCCGAGCGGTATCAGGGTGGATAGCCTTATTATTGATACTCGCAAGAGCAGGGGGCTGGGAGAAAATGTCAAACCATTCAAGGGTGTGAAATATATGACTGTGAGCAGGAAAGGGGTCGAGCGGAGAGGCTGATCAAGGGGGTTGGTGCTCATCTATCGACCATGAGACTCTCAATTTTTTGCTGAGCAGAACCACGCCCGGTTCTATTGAGTGGTCAGCCAATTACTGGAACCCACATCTCGAAGCTACCATCCAAACCATCCAAACCATCCAAACCATCCAAACCATCTGTTTACATATCGAGCAGCCTCAAGCAGTTTGAGTAACTGAGGTCGATCCTACCTCCTTAAATACCCAACAAGTACATTCTTCTTCAACATCCTTACATTCTATAACGAAGTCTCTACCAAAGGAAACAATAGAGCACAACAGTACACCCATCTAGTCCCTAACACGGCCAGCTCTGATGCTCAAGCTGTCCAAACTCAGTTCAGAATGTGAAATTCTTCTTCATTACCATTTGCCGTCCGGATCAGAGCTAAGTACTCACAACCAAAATATACATAATTCGCACAATTTTGAGCCACCAATTATCTAGAACAGGATGCGTATCCCATAGCCCCTAAATTATGTCTCGGGAACAGGGTCAGCAGTTCACCACCCTTTCCCTCGGACGCTTCCCTTACCTCCGCATATCATATCACATTTCCGCTCCAATCCCCTCAACCGACAGACCCAGCTAGCCTTTCGTTTCTAGGATATTGCACGTAAAGGCAGCATAGAATGGGGAGCGTCATGAAATCTGGAGTTAGGAGGTAGGCTGGCCATGTTCAGATGATGAGAGATGTAAATATGTGCTAAGCTGCACCTGAACCAGCATCTGCACTCCTCGCCTTTCCCCTCTTCCCTCCACAAACAGTTGCGATCTGGCAAATCATGGTACTGAATCTCGCTTTGATTGGGGGGGCCGGGGGTTCCTTTTCTTTTCTTTCCAGTGAAAGCAATTGGTAGGTAGATAGGCATGGGCAATGGAAAATTAGGGAAATTTTGGATCTGAAGAGCCCGATGCTTAACTTGTTAAGCCTGGAGTGGGGGGGATGCTTGGGAGCGGAAGCAGTTCTGCGTGCAGCGGAGGAGGCGGAGGACAACCAAGTCAGGCTGAGCAATCAACTTGGAAGGATTGGCGCCCACGAACTGACCGTAGATGAGGAGGGTTCGATAAAGATGAGCTGATAAGCATGTGTATGTGTGTGTGTGTGTGTTAAATCAGAAACCCCATCCATTCATCCCGACACTTCACTCATTCCATCTCGTCGTCAACTAGTAGCAGCAACAACACCCTACGCAATCCCAAACCCACAGCAGCACTCATATCGATCCAAGATACCCGTAGTTTAGTCAAACCGTAATCCTCGATCTCAGCTATCTGAACCACCAGCAGATGGCCAGTTGGCCGGTTAGTCGAACGCTATGTCTGACCAACCGGCCAAAATCCCTTTCGCCTAAAAAAACCCAATCTTGAAAATAAATGATAGGATATATATTTTATTACCACAAATCTATGTCTGGAGTGGAAAGGAATCACCGCGAATTAATTTCTTGCCTTTTACCAGAAATTACAGGGCTCCTTCCAAAAACGCTCCATTTGTCAATCTTTGGAATCTCTTTCACGTTCGAACCCCCGCGTTCGGATACGAATTTTTTTGGGGGAGGGACTCTGGTTTTTTTTCTCTTTTTCTTCTTCTTTCTACTTTGGACTCGGTCTGTGTGTGATGGTTTATGAGACCGTTTGTTAAGAGGCGTTTGAAGTCTTTTCATGGGCTGCTGCTGTGCTGTGCACTGGTGTACTTTTTGCTTGGCGTAATTTTGAAGATTTTTGGGATGCCTCAGGCATGACATGGCCTGCATATGCTTGAAAGGTTGACTGGGGCAGTGCGCTTCTTGACGTTTGGAGAAGATTTACCTACCACGTCCGTGGCTGTAAAGCGCGACCAATAATTACGATTCCTTGGTAAATAGTCTGCGAGTTTCCAAAGATGAGATGAAATTGGTCAAGCTTTCATTTATGATGTCTCTTTTCGGTAACCTACATCTAGATACACTATTCAATGTCACTACGTCTGTATAGCCTTCTCCAAGGCCTTTACGTCCCCACCAGCCCTTCTTACTGCCCTGACAGCCGCTTCGCTGAGCCTCCTCCTCTTTTCTCGGGCCTCTTGCTCCCTTCTTGCCCTGGTTTTCGAACTCCCACTTGGCGCCACGTCACTCAACAATTTAGCGCTATCCGCGGCGGTAAGATTGACGAAATTCATCTCGAATCCCCCATTCGGCGTTTTGGGTGTCCTTGGTGTTCGAGGGGTTTTGGAAACGCCAGACGTTTTCGGATTGCCCATGCTTTTCCGACGGGTGGAGCGCGTTGGAGAGGTCTGGCGCGTCGAACGAGTCGTATTGGTTGGAGATATCGAAGCAGATCTGTCCGGAGAGGTTTGATGACGTCTCCGCGGGGTTGTGAAGGGTGAGGTGGGGGAGAATGCTTCACGGTAGCTGTCACCTTTCAGTGAAGGCAATGGCGGGTACACGCTTGTTGGTGAAAAAGGAGGGCCAGCTGCGGATAATGGCTCGGCAGGTTGATGGGTGTCGGATTTTGGTGCATGGCTATCGCCGGAAGGATACTGAATCATAAGACCTCCTAACTGAAGATCATGAGAGGATGATGATATCAGTTGGTGAACCGGCCGCTGAGGGCTTGGAGCAGCAATTCTCGGATAGTATTCATCATGCGCTTGTTCGAAGCTTGACGTAGCTGAATGATTTGATGTGGTAGGTGGAGGTGACCACCATGCTTGAGTTTGTTCCCCTTCCATCATCTGAGATTGAGAATTATATAGATAGGCCGACTTGTGTCCTGTTCCGACTGGTTCGGTGTGCCAGGCCGGTATTTTCTGCCCTTGTACCCGAGAAGCATAATGAGATGCTAGATTGCTCTGGTCTGTCGGACTAGACAAGACGGTGGGTCCACTGGGCATGAATGTTGGATTCGGACGAGGCACGTACAGGTCAGGGTCAAGCTGCTCGATGGATGGAATTGGCTGGCTCATGTCATAGCTCGGCATCGTCAGATCTAGAGTCTGCATATGAGCACCATTGTGTACAACATTAATTGCATTCATCCTCGTAGCATTCCCCCGCTGAACTGGACGTCCGGAAGGTGGCGGTGAAAGAGGCAGCACGTCATCTTGAACTTGCAAGTGGAAATTCTGAAAGTCTTGCTGCCAGGTCTCATGGTGTGGCATCTTGCCATTTGGTAATCTTGCATACATTGGACTAGGCGAAAGTGTCACCTCTCGTGAGTGCGTGTGTCGGACATATGGATTTGGTCGGATAGTCGCCGCTTTGGGACTCGTGACAGATCTCTTTGTTCCTTTTTGCGAAGGAGTGAGAGAAGGCGATCTTGGATCTTGCAGATCGGCTCGATTCAATGGCTGACTGGGGATTTTGAGTTGATTGTGGCTTCCATTAGGACAGCGAACAGAAGATTCATTTTGATTAAGGCACCATAAGCCCTTGCGCCAAGGTTGTGGGGACGATTCCTTGTGCCTTGCAGCAGCACCGATTGGTGACTGGCTGCTGCCGCCCCGATCTCCAACATCTCCTATGAAGAAGTCTTCTTTGTCGTCGTCACTTAGGTCGTAGAGTGCTTGATTGACGTAGTCATCAAAGGAGTTCGTAAGCGGGTCTTCAATTGTTGGAAAGAGTAGCCTGAGAGCTTTGTCTTCTGCCCGGATCTGGCAGTCTGGTGAGCTCGCCAAGGGCATCCTGTGGAGAGACAAGCGGTGTACGAGATGCAGATGTGAGGGGCAGAAAGAAGTGCGCAAGGGATGACACAAGAGCGGTTATGAGCCAGTAGAAGTGCACTGACAGGGAGTTCTAGGAGCTCTAATGCACGGTGATATAAACAAACAAAACTCATGAACATGACGAAAGGATATAAGAGGTTGCCTGGTCACTCCTCATCACCAGCCTTCATTTCTGGGAGAGAAAAGGGGCAGGTGTGAGGAATGTGCGTGTGGTACAACCATTGGCTAGTTCTGGCAGGATCCAAGACATACTACGCGCGTTGTTGGACAAAAAAAGAGACATTGTATAAGGAAAAGTCTGTGCACACATTCCTGTCGGTACCAACCTCATCGGAATGTTGCTGCGGGAGCAAGAGGAGCGTGCTTCTAATGTTTGCGCAATGATCTCATGCGTATGATGGATTCCTCTGAGCCATTTGATAGTTTCGCTCCTCGGTATAAAGCTACCAAAGAAGATGGGAATAAGGAAACCATTTTGAGAAGCAGAACTCTATGTAAAAGATGGACAAATTTGAAGCAGCTGCTCAGGCCAAAAAAGTCTCTGCGATGAGCTAGACCTTTTTAGACACAGCGGCTTGGTGACAGTAAGGGTAAAATAATATGCTTAGCATTGTTGCAGAACTCTCTCTCAGTAATAATGTCATTAATGCTTACAGTCTGTCTACTTGATTTAATCCAGGCCACGAGCTTGAGGAGTCGATATCATTCATGATTGTATCTAGAACCTGATTGGAATTTCATGTTTCGGACATTGTCCTGGAGTCCTTGGAATCCCCAGTCAGCCTTCTGGTCTTACAATCAGAATGAAATTGTAGTGGCCTTTTGTCCCAGGTAGCATGAGAACAATGAAGCTGGTTTGATTGTTCACCGCCGCCAATGTATATGTAGCATAAAGTGCCGACATCCATTTCAGAGTCCTGATACAACTTCCATCTTCTCAGGGTTCATTCTAAGATGTCCACCAACAATAATAACACTACGAACTCAACTGACAATTCCTCTGGCAAGGGAAGCTCACCATGGTCGCCATTTGTCCCGAGGCTCAGTCCAATGCCGTCACCAACAGTGGCTAAATTCGAGGCTCCCAAGCATCATATTGACAGAAAGGTTTGGAAGAGTGGTGAGGAAGGGCCGATCGAGCTTTGGGCGAAGCTGTCAGGTAAGGAATGGAAAGGATTTGAATGAAGGCCAAACAGGTTAGTTTCTCGCTGAATCCATCTGGAGCATAGATGTGGGTTTGCACTCAGCTGGTCTGCTGTGACTTTGGTGGCTGCAGATGTCAGATAGAAATCAATGTGATAGATCAATGCGATTTCACCATATCAATGTACCTGCCTGCTATAGAAAGTGCGAATGGTACAATCAGATTGAGTTGACTCTGGAAACTTTCCATATCCAGGCGGCCACCAGGTCAAACAAAGAAAAATGATCTTCAAAGCTGGAAGTCTGCCCGACACATGGATGCCAGGAGGACAATATGCATGGAGCATGGTGAGAGCTGTCTGAGAAGAAAAACGATCATTTGGCGCTGATAAACACGAGCCCAAACTTCTCCCGAACATCTATGCATTTCCATATCAATCCTGACTGTCATACTGCACGCGACAAAAGATTACTATGTAGTATTGCTGTGTGAATGCATGATCGTACGCATCCTTCTCTAGTGCCATCCCAACGTATAACATAGTATGGATCCAGCCTGAGCAAGGTTTTCCACACTAGCATGATGTCGATATGACCTTTCCCAAAAGAGTAGATTGTCTCATGCACCCAATCATGCTGTGCTCAAGCTGAAAAGTCCATAAAATGTCATTGGGCTGCAGAATATGAGATTCATCAAGGGTGGACCGGATCGTTGCGCATGCCGAACAATGGTAGGAGAATATGGCTGCTGAAGACGAAAGACTGTATGGAAGACGCAAGTACGCGTCTGTTGTATGGACAAACTGAGTGAAGTGTGAAAAGCAAGATCTTGCATTTAATGTATCACAGCCGCTTCTTCTCGCCAAATCGTTGTTGTCACGTCCCTTGGCTATCCGCTTTCAAGCGCCCCAACAACAGGCTCATCTCGTCATCCTCTTCTTCAATTACTCACCCAGAGGCTGTTAATCGACAGATGCATTCATCCTTACAATAGTCAACCACTCTTACTCTGTGTTGTTATGGGAAGGCCATGGTCATGACCGGACTAACGCAGAACGTCAACATTATCCTCCATACAGCTTTGTACTCGAACTAAGCTATACACTCCAAGGAGTCTTTGTCCACTCATTGCCAATACAAAGGCATGTATCTTGATCAACAACGGAAGATTGAGGGTCAAAGGACAACAAAGAGGGAAACATAATGTGACGATGAGTCGTCAAAAGGTGAGCACAAAAGAAGCCTTACTGTTATCTGCTATTTCCATCGGATTGATATGCTCCGTGATCGGTGCTGCTGCTGAGTTCGTTCTTTAAATAAGCACTTTAGTTGCAGCTTGGGGATTGGCCTTCGCCCTCAGGGATCGTGATCGGAATAAAAAAAAAGAAGACCTTGTTGAGCTCTTGCTCTCACAAGGAAAAGGCTGATCAAGGTTTTTAGGAAAATTTCAAACAAACCATCCACCACTGAACACCATGTGCTACCAAGAAGACATCTATCACTCTCAGTGCAGGCACTGGGGGAAGAGGGTGTATTCAAAATGCGCCAACACAACCGACAGGAAATGGGCTAATGGTTGCTGGGAAAGAATCACGACTGGATCAGCACGGGTGGACGATAAGTGTTCAGGGTGCTGCTCTGGTCGAGCCAACTTGACAGCAGGTACGTGGCCAGCTTCTGTTGTTGCTCGCTCGGAGAAAAAGCCCACCAAGGTCCAATCTCAGAGGACCATTCTCAATCGAGTCCAGGGACGCCGCATTACCGAGACCGATTTCCTGGGCAACCGTTTTCCCTAGGGGTGAAGGTCGTTGGTGATCTCGGTAGTAGATAATGGCTGATCCACATGATCCTTCTAGTCTCCTCACAAATACAGTCCATCTTGATTGCTGAATCTCGGTATGCTTTCCTTTTCGATTCCTGCGGATGTACTTCTTCCAACCTTGACGCGTTGCGCCCCTCGCAACGCCCAGGCATGACTCATTGAGTCCAGCTAACACCATAAAGCAGGAACTCTTCAGCAGGCTCGTGGTGCGATGAGAGTGATAAAGGGTAAGTCGTTGGAGTTGATAGGAGTCGTGCGAGCAATGATGGCAGGCAGTAAGGATAGGCTGGTCCCGCTACAGATCTTCTTCTTGTGGTGATGAAATGAGCATCCAGACCAACAACCTTCCACAGCTCCAAGACAACCAACAAGTATAGAGCTTGGATACGACAATGGGTAAACGCAAAGCTTCTCCATTTTACCCAAGGATACGAGCTGCTTCGTGCGTGATACTAATTCTCACTGGGACGGCGTCTCATCCATCCATGTGCTGTAATGTAAGATAACAAGCTACATGGGCTGATAGTAGATTGAAACCAACATAGGTCGTGTCAAGTGTAGAGCAACAGACCCCAGGATCAGCAAGCCGGAACAAGGCTTTCGGGAAAGAATTGGAGCATTTCTGCTCGCCAAAAGCGGACATAAGATCGAGATACACAACTGCCAGTTCTGGCGGGCCTGCTCAATCAATTGACGGCGAATTTCTTAACAACCACAGTCCTTTGATTGAGCACGGATTTGCAAGGCACTCAGTATTTGAGGTTGGATCTGCACGATAAGCTGCCGAAAGACATGGTATCATAAAGCCTGGGTTCTATCACTCATTGCTTACAAGCCGACGGGCGCGTAGATGCTTGATTAAAATTGAAGTAAGTAATGGCAAAACCTCGACCTGGTGTTGGAATGGCTCTGGAAGCTGTCGGCGGAAATGCAACCCCTTTTCGTGAAACTTCCGAACCTAAGCATGTTTTAGACCGTAAGGAGCTAGCGCAGAACTAGCGTGTAATATAGTGGCTTACGGCCTTCTTGACTCTTGACTCGTGGCGAACCAGCAGGAAATAAGTTCTTGCTCTAACCATCATCAGGTAGCTTGGAGGACATCGTGAGATTCCTAATCAATTGGAAGACAGCTTCGCAGACAAGACGCCGATCGTCATGGGAAAATCAAAGTATTGTTTACGGATGTCTGCAATCTGCTTCTACGCTTGGCAGGAGAAGGTCGATGCATAGTTGGCCGGACCCCAACAAACAATACTACGTAAGTACGGAGTACATAGTACAACCATTCAGCAAGACCGCCATCCGTCCTGCTGCATAACCAGTATTGGCATAATAGGCAGTGCAACAACATATACCACCATAATAGGGTACTCACAATCAGGGCATTCCATTGAATGACTAGCAACAGCCTGCCAACCAAGGTACAGAGTACAGTACTCATGGATGTCAAGAAGAAGTTAGTTTCGGTGGCTGCGAGCCGTGACACTAACAACCCGGATGGCTTGCGTTACCTGTACCGATGCAATGTACGAGTTGTGCTTCCCATCATTGTTTCATCAAGGAAGCGCCAGCTGCCACTCCATTTCCACAGCCTTGTAGCAGATTGCCGAATGCATGTAACCAACACATACTAGTACAAGGAAGCAAACAGACCGACCACGTAGACTCTTGTTCAGGAGCAAGCATTTACCAATCTCATCATTTGGAGCCAGGAAGTGAGCATCACTGATTTCACCAGCGACACTCAGCTGCTTGCGCAAGATCGAGATGCGATAGCTGAACAGCTACCGCACTATTGGTCAGCTGGCTCGATGGCTGTCTAAGCCAGAAGTTCTCATATTTTCAGAAGAACCAAGGAACCGTAAAGGTGGAGAGAGAGTGCGCGATTTGCTGTATGCAGTTAGTAATCCTGATTGGGCCGAACTTAGTAGTTAGTAGTCAAGCAAAGAAGTAGTACTTTGACTCCTAAGTTAGTCTTATTGTGGAGCAGAAAGATGTCGACCCGATGTGGCTTGTGAAAACTACTTACACATTGGTTGGTTCTGAGGACATATTTTGCCTAGCTACTCGCTAGTTCCTCGCCCCAGTACACAAACGCTCCCTGTGCAGTTCGGTACTGTCCAGATCCCCCCTAACCGGTGCATTGAGCGCCTAAATGAGCGGGAGTCTTTTGCAGCTCTCGAATACTCACCAGGCACCCAAGTATTTGCCAACCATCCTACACCTACCGTAGTACGGAGTATGTAGTAAATGAATCAGGCGTGCTGAGGCCAACTAGTGCAGCGCGGAGCCGATTTGATTATCCGGCTTTAGTGTTGGTGTCAAAGTCAATCTTTCCATCAAAGCCTTAAGCCTATTCCAAAGCCTTCGTCGCAGATCTCGTAACTTTTCTATCATTGTTCCTGTTACTCCGTACACTCAGCTTTTTGCGATTAGTCGCAGCTTGAAAGCTGCTCACCATACCGTCGACTTCCTCTGCCTCTCCTTTTGATTGTGGCGATATGAAGTCTGATGCCGAAGCCCTCATCACTATGCTAGTACCTCTGCCTGTCTGATCTTCGCTCGACTAGCATCATTCAAACTATGCGCGAATCGCATCGTTGATGCCCGATTGCATACCTTTTGACTTGTCAATCCACGCTGCATCTCTCTATATCAAACTTCTGAACCGGTACCCATTTGAATTCTATATCTCTGTCCCGCTCCGTTTGCTCAACCTTGGTCGCCATCTCTGCCTCCATCATTCACAGCCTCCTCGACATGCGCAAATCTCACGCCTGAATCCCTTCACAAACAACTTCGGTCAAAGAGCTTTTCACTGGTTGTGTGGTGCTGTGTAGTTGTTTGCTCTGAGTCAAGCCTACAGTTTTGTGGCGCAATTCCTAGGATCCATTTGATCGTTCCAAGCTGAGCGTGTGGAAGCATACCCCGTTACAATCCATACGATCGATGAATTTGGCCAGTACATTGGAAGAGCTGAGCGAAAAACCATACAATGATGCATTCCAATAGTGGGCGCACTGTTAGCATTCCGAGCGAAGGCTCGTCTCTCTCAAGCTATGCGCTACTCTCGCCCCCAGCTTCCATCAATCCTGAACCTGCATATATCGCCGTTTCCGCCGCATCACAATTGGTATCCTCCGAACTAGAGACAGACGGGGTGACCATCTCCGCTTGCGCACTCACTCAATTAAACAGCTTTCTTGACCACATACTCTTCAATATCCTTCTGGCGGCAAAGTCGACCAAGCTATCTCTGGTGAAACCTGCAACACAAAGTGTTCTTAAACCAAAGCTCGGAAAAGCAGCATTGGCGGCCGCAGATGAAGAGCTTAGGGAGTATTTGGGGGACGATGAGGATGACGACGAGAATTTGGAGACCAATCTCGACCCAGGAATGCAGCGTGAATTCGACCTCGAGCTGGCTTGGAAGCTGGCTCGTTTGCGCTGTATGGTCTATAGTCGATTGGGTGATCTGGAAGAGGACGACGAGGACGAGTACATTGAGCGTGAGAATCTCGACGAACGTGGCGGCAGGCCGCGCAGATTTTCCAGCCACCCTAGCAGAGTTACCACAGCTGCCGCCATTTTCCTAACTTCAGTGATTGAGTTCCTTGCAGAACAGGCATTGGCTCACATTGCGCAAGTGATGCAGAGGAAGCTTTCGAAATCCCACGCTAGTCAAGGCAACCTGGATCCCACCGCAGCCCTTTCCTTTTTCTCAGATCGAGTAGTGGTTAGCGATGCAGATATGAGACATCTGGGCCGTGACGGTCCGCTACAGAAACTATGGCGAGGATGGAGACACCAAGTTCGAATACCAACCGACCCTACATCCCGACCAATCTCGCCTGAATCGCTCTCGTTCCCTGGACACAGTCGCAAAGCAAGCATGGCCACTTTGGACGCTACTTCAGCGCCTGAACACCAGCTTTCTGTCGCAGAAGTTCTTCACGAGAACGACCCTGCTCGGATACCGTTGCCGATTGCTGAAAATGATGTCAATGAGATCGAAATTCCTGGCCTAGCATATGCCCACGACAGTGGACGTATAACTAATACATATCGAAGATCTGGCGAGCAAAATTTACAGAGAAGAAGAAGCTTGGAGCATCTTTCTTCCCAGACCGCGCCTGTAACACCAATCTTGTCGACCGAAGGATCTCACTCCTCTCAGGTTGCTGAGATCAGGCCCACAGTTCAGCACACAAGGTCCCGTTCTCTTCCTACTAGCCCGACTCTAAGTCCGCGAGCCCCGTCAAGTAATGTTGTAAATCGTGCTTTGCACGCTACTGAAGCGCTTGAAAAGGGTGCTAAGGTACGAGATATAAATGCTGGACAAGAAAGAGGACAAGATATGCTGCCGCAGGGCCCTGAGAGTTCTGATAAGTCAATAGGTAGTATTGACGAGCCTAGAAGCTTTTCGATTGTGGGGTTAGCAATGCCTGGGAGCTTCCCTGCTGGGTATTCTTCCAACGAGACAGAGGTGGGAAAGGCAATCGATATGTCTGTGGCCAAGGTAGACAAACAGCTTTCAAAACTACTTCCTCTGTCAGACAGAATACCACCTCCCGACAGCCTTGAGGCACCAACATCTTCCATGGCGCTGAGCACACATGCGACCACCACGCTTGAGCCTGCTCTACCAATTATAGCACATCCGCCACGGACGTCTTCGAAGGTCCCCAACGAGTCTGCTCCACGTCATGAGCAAAATTATACTATTCAGCTGGGTACGTTTACTCCAGCTGCAGCAGCTCACCCTGAGCACACTGGAGCACAACCTATTGCTCTTAGCCAGGAGATCATTGGAAAATCAATTGAAGTCCCGGATGAAACGTTCCCCACAACGCCCACAAGCGAAGCTCAGAAACGTCAAGGCCAAGCTGGTTTTTCATCCGAAGATGGAGAGACCAAGACCAGAAGTAATTCGAAGTCCTCTCGCCATACAAAAGGCTCTTCGAGCAGCAGTAAATTGCTCGGGTTCGACCGTGAGGCAAAATCAACTATGTCGGTCGCTTCCGACCGTGCTGGCGTTCAGCGCGTCTACTCTGGCGCAGGGGCTGCTCAAGATGTGAATGATCACGTTGTTCGACCAAGCACATCCCATAGCACAAAGGACAGTAGGCCGGGAACAGCGAGCTCACGTATGTCGTCTCTAAAACAGGGCAGCGTGACTGGTGCCTCTGTCGATACTCCTACGAGTAATGGCGGAAGCTATAAGCGCAATGTAGAGCAAGATGACAAGAAAGCGCGTTTGGACAGTCTGATCCAAAGTGAGGAAACCTTGAAATATACACTTACACCACGAACCATGAGGGGAATGGAGGTAAGTGCACATATTTTTGATGAATGGAATATTATTGAGCGTTTACCCTCTTGCAGGCACCTGAAACACCACGACGCAAAAGCCCAACTCGGGAGTTAGCAGACTTCTTCAAAGACACTGCACCTCTGGGGTCGGTTGAGCCGGAAGCAGTTCGGAGGAAGTCTAGTAGTCCGGCAGATGGAATGAACGGGCTCCGGGCGAGTCCTCCTCATTCCTTCGCGAGACAGCCGAGCGCTGCAGTTGCTGTTGACCCACCACAGCTGGGAATAAACGAGCAGAAACCCCCATTATCACCTGTTTCAAAATTTCTACGTAATCAACAACGACCACGCGATCCAAAGGTCGAAAAGGCCTCAACAAGAGACCTAGCTGACTTCGCCAAATCTACTGGGCCTGAAAGTCCAGGACAACTACCAAAGGCAGTGTCGTCACTTCCGGCAGAGCCTGCCCAGCCTGCGCAGCCTAAACGCGCAAAGAGTGCTGCGCCACGTTTCCTGGCAAGGGATCCAGTAGTGAGGGGTGCCAACTCTGACCTGATTGACTTCATCCGAGAAGGACCGCCGCGTGCTAAGGGCGATGGCACACACAGGATACCGCGTACGGTGGCACCATTCCGAACAACCATGGATTCAGACGAGTTCAATTCGCTTGGAACACCACAGAATTTTGATAGCCCATATTCTGGCTCAAGCAATCAAGGGGCTTCAGTGGTCACAAAGTCTACGGTAGACTCTCGAACAGGTTTAATGGATTCGACAAACCGAACGGCGTTGAATCCCGCAAATAGCTCGAATCTTGGTACGGCCCAAGTCCCAAAACGTGCCTCGGAGACAAGCAAGCAGCCGATCCGCAAGCAGACTAGGGTAAAGGACCCATATGCCATTGACGTAGAAAATGATGACGAGATAGATGATGGCTTGGGCAAACCACCACGGTATGATGAGGAGAGCTTAATCGACTTCTTGCGCAATACCTCCCCACCTACCGAGAGCCAAACTCAACCTCAACCACTCATGCTCTCCACAAAAACCTTAGCTTCACAATCACCAAATCTCCGGAGAAAGACGGCAAATGGTGGATTTATGGACCGCATGAAAAGGACCGCATCAACGCATAGCCTCGGCCGGAACGGTGACGCCAGATCTTCGCTGCAGACTTCCAACAGATCTCCCACCTCTGCTCGACCAGGCAATCAGCCCAGACCTTCATCACCTCATCTAGTCCAGTCTGGCTCTCGATTTGACAGCTACAAGCCTACTCATACAACATATGCTGCACATGTAGAGCGGAACCGACAGAAGTCGGCCGCTCAGGGTATGGACGTGAATAATGATGAAGGGGGCTTGACGAGGTTTTTTTCGAGAAAGAGGCGAGTTGCTGCTTGAATATTGGTCATCTGAACGAGCCACGACGTAGCATACGATTTTCGGGCGGAGCACAAGTTCGGACATCTCATAATGGGCAACGAGATCTTGGGAGAAATCTTGGGAAGGATCTTGGGAAGGATCTTGAGATATGTATATTTCCTTCAGCGCACATATTGTAAACAGGCTATATATTGAAATATCAAATGGAGGAGCAAAATGGTTATGAATCATTATTTGTGTCATTCATCCTGCTCTTGGTCCCTGGCCCGATTCAAGTAACATGCGTAGTAATTTTCCAAGCACCCCTGTCTCCTTATCTTTTTTTGCCTATCCCTCCCCACGCCAATTATAATCCCGAAACCTGCGAGCCTGTCCCGATTGTACACCTCTTCCAGAGTGGACTTCCTTGATGCTCAGGCGGTAATTGTTAGCTTTTGGCATGCATTCTTCGTGGAGGACAGCATTGCTGTTGCTCACCACTCTGCACCTCATAGACGCCCTGAAATTCGACCTCCTTGCTCAACCGCCCCACAGCAAGAATGAGCGATGCATACGGAATTTTGTCAATAAAGATACCTTGGTCGTTGTCACGGCGATAGTGGATGGCAGTAGAGGGGATGGACAAGTTGTCAATATGCATGTATGTGAATACTACTAGTCAATGGATGGAGCATTTGCTGACGGGAGACTGACCTTTTTCCACTTCTGCAGATTAAGGATTCGGTGGGCAACGACTACGGACGGCCGAAGGATATTACGGGGGAGACAAGAATGGCTTTTACCAGTCTTGCAGATACGGCGTTCGATGTCTGCTTTGAGAACAATTTGGCCAGCTCAAGCTGTATGTACATTACAATTTCCCGTCGCGAGAGGAAGCAGCTCTCACCAACATTCTTCGTCTCGACAAGCTGATATTTGCTAACGCACTTCAAGATTCAAGGTCACCTCCTTCCCGCCACGTTGAGCTCGATATCGATATTGGCGCCGATGCCAAAGACTGGTCTGGAATACAAGCTGCTGAAAAGCTGAAGCCCGTTGAGACCGAGCTCCGCCGAATCGAGGAGACCGTCAACGAGATTGTGACTGAGATGGAGTATCTGAGAGGAAGAGAACAGAAGCTAAGAGATACCAATGAGAGCACCAACGAACGAGTCAAATGGTTTGCCTTCGGAACAATGGGTATGCTTGTCGGGCTAGGGGCGTGGCAGATTGTGTATCTGCGGGCATACTTCCGGTAAGTGCTGATCTTTTCAAGGAACTCACTCGACGTTGATGCAGTCCCTTCGCTTCTATTGCTGACTTTTGTAATATGTAGGTCGAAGCATTTAATCTAGTCCATGGTTGTGTTCACAGCATATAGGCCTCGGTAATCGTAACCGGCTTCACTTCTAAACACTCCAGTAGGGTCGACTGCTGTTTGAAATGCAAATAACTCTTTGGCAAGCCACTTCTTTACTCTCTGTCTCTCCCTTGTCTCCTTTAACAGATCCGTTCGCCAACTTCAGTTGCTTCACAGTCGTGATCTAGCTTTTCCAAACCAGTTTGACAAGTGCTGCAAAGTAAGACGGTTTGAACTCTTACTACAGCTGGCTATCACACTATTGCCATTGATCTCTTCCCCCAAAACAATCGATATTTCGAAACCCGCATCGACCTGCCACTCAGGTATGCAATGCCCATCAATGGTGCCGCCATTGTTTATGGTATACTAAGATTTATTAATGTAAAACAGCAGGCAGTCCCTAGTTCAGTGTTCCCAACAATACACAACATGACTTCCAGATCGGCAACAGCTTGTGATCAGGGGTCGACTGATGAGTCCTCGACAACAGAGGTGGAGTCCAGTCGTGAAGAGACAGCAACTGGACAGTAAGGACACTAATATTATATGATCGATATACTGATATCTGACTAGTTTTGCTACTTCTGAAATCGTCACAGTATATGTCGGCAAGAAGCGACAAGCTTACCGGGTTCATAAAGCATTGCTCGTCTCCAAATGTCCATACTTTCGTGGAAGTCTCACTGACGCCTTTCCGGAGGGTCGCAACAACGAGGTCTGTTTGAGCGAAGACGTACCCGAAGCCTTCAGTTGGTTTCTTACATGGCTCTACTCTGGAGTCGTCAAGAAAATCGAGACCAAGCAGGATGCGTGTATCGCATTTGAGACATATCTTATGGCTGACAGATTCATTATGGTGGTGCTCAAGAACGATTTGATGGATGCTGTACGCCGGTTCTACGCTCGTACACGGATGGGGGTAGACCTCCTGGAACTGCTTGCTAAGCATGAAGGCTTCGAGGGAAAGTTGAAAAGTTTCGGTCTCGATCAACTAGCATACGATCTGCATGAATATTGCGGGAATATAGATCCTGATCCTTACATGCCATCGAGTTCGCTTCGTTCTGACATCAATGCTTTTCTGGCCAAGGGAAGTTCGACTGCTATTGACACGTTCTGGGCGGTCCGTGATTGGGCATTCAGAAAGGAAGTTGACCCATCAAGTCTAGAAGGCTGTTACTATCACGAGCATCCCAGCGGATCGCCAGCCTGCAAGTTCGCAGCTGATTAGGTCAAGGAATGATCAATGTTGCAGGAGCATGATGAAGACAGCGAAGGGTAGAGCGCCACATTATGCTCACCCGAAGTTTGGGCGGACAACACTTTGAACACCACCAAGGTCGATTTTTGATGCGGAAGGACTACGACTCATCAGTGCAATCGATGGGATCAGCAGTTACCACAAAGGGCGAGCACTTTATGCCTTCAGCTAATTCAGCATTCTATGTTGGAGGTCGGGAAAGTAGAGGCCTCAATCTTGCTCTTTTCAGTGTCTTTCTGCTCAATGGATATAGAAACGCTGTGCTTGTCTGCTGTCCTTGGACCTTGTCCGCACTTGGTAATCCTTTCACTATTCCCATACAACTAAGCTATGCCCACCGCTGCATGCTCCCGTTCCATACCTTGAACCCAACCACATGTTCCCTTGGCGCTTGATGTGTTCACCAATTGTCTCATTCATCTCATCCCGCACATAAAGTCTGTTGCTAGATTGCCCTTGAACTTCACATCTGAAGGTTCTACGTTCTGCAATATTACGTTTTGCAATACTTCACTCGTCTTAGGTATTTCGCCGTATTACTACCAAGTCAAGCATGGAGTAGACGCTGCCGTGAGTAATCGCTCCCTTCGAAGTGATCTCTTATGACTTACTAATCATGTTACAGCTTCTTGCTTTTCGCTAACTGGCATTCATGTTGGACCTGAACAGGAGGCCCTGCGGGTGCCAAAGACGATCTTGATCAAGGAGTCTTTGTTCTCCGAAACATGCTTGGGGTGATTTGATCGCCTGTCCATGGAGAGCCAGCACGATCCCATTATGGACCAATGGCCTGGCTCCTCTTTGAATATTTTGTGGCAAGCTCAGATTTGTGGGACACAATTCGTCCAGGGCAAGACCTGTAATGAGGCACACCAAATTCATCTGTCTGATCACATCATCCATGAACATGCAGTTCTACAAAGGGGCAACACTTGAGCTGGCTTTTACAAACTGGTCGTCGATTGGGTTGTTGAGGCTGCGGTGGCTTACCTGGCAAACAAGGACAAATCGAGGTGTCTTGGATCCTGTTTGGTGATACAAAAGTCATGTGGCAGTTTCTGCAGTCTGAAAATGGCGAACAATCTCAAAGAAAAGGTGAGCTTAAATGTATTGGAAGAGCTAAGTCTTGTCTGTTCCAGGAAAACAAAATAAGGAGACAGCAAAATGCAAAGGAGGAGAGGGAAGCTGAGAGTTGATTGGCCCCAAAGACATGGATCATGGTTAAATTGATCAGCTCTGGCCGTCGTCGACCTGATAATCAAAAGGATAACATCAATACATCAATACAATGCATGAGTCCATCGATTTCACCGCAAAGGGGATCAATATTTCCCTCTGCATTTTCTTTACGGAAAAAACATCTCAATTTGGTGCCAATTTCCTGCAGTGACAGTGCATGACGCCCACGTGTAGAATAAATAGTTAGGGTATATGGTTAAGCGCCCCACAAACTTACCCCTTGGTGATGCCGAAACGCTAAACTCTATCCCTAGACTGCCGGCCCTTCCAGGTGCGATATGCAGGAGTTGCTGTCACATGGCAGCCTCTTCTGGGGTACAGCATTGGTCACACAGGCACTGTGCAACGCTTCAACGAATCATTCAGGGCCAAAGTTGTTACTACGTATCGTTGAGGACGACAAGCTCGTGCCCGATGTCTTCTTAATTCTAGTTACAACCAAGATCATTGTCCGGCCATCAACTGTTTTTAGCCCGTGACAATCTCCCGTTGTGCCTTGGTTCGGCATCACCAACAACCCAACCAGCTGGGCAAATAACATCTTCCCAATGACAACGCCTACCGTGATAAAGGATGGCTCAACCATGCTTAGCATTGGGTCTGCCTTCGGTCCGGAGGTCCTCTGGTCCTGGCCTCCTGGCCGCTGCCGGTGCTGCAGCTTCCAGGTCCTCCGGTCCAGGTCCAAGTACAAAGTCAAGATCCAAGTCCTCCGAGCCGCTACCGCTAATTGCGGAGATGTAGAATGACGCTTCCTAATCGAAAAGTCAATACTTGTCTCCCTGGCGCGCAATGCGCCGGGGACACCTTGAAGGCCGTCTTATCTATCCTGTCTGTTGGGGTGGGCAAAGTATGGCTTCCCTACAGCGCCTCCTTAGTCTATTTCTATTTCTCAATCAAGAGCTGGTTCGGAAATCTCTGGGCAACCACCATTTCTTACCATCTTCTACCTGTTGATCTTCGAGAATTGTTCTTGTGAGCTCCCCCTCGACCAGCCCGACCCGCTGTCCTCAACGCTGTTTGTCCGTTACATGTCATTTCAGGTTGCGTTAGTCTTGCGCATGCAGCTGTCAGTCGACCCCCTTCCACTTGGAGATACTTTGACCAACCTGTAGCTCATGCACCTGAGCAAGCGTTAGAGAAAGAAGCATCCTGCAGCCGAGACCGTTCGAGATTTCCATCCGAAGCCCATAGCCGAACCTGCTTGCCACTCAACGGCTTTGACACATCTTCGGCCACCAACTGTCGCCGAGTCTTACACGCTGCTGATTACATAGCAGCTAGCGGGGCTTCCATCTGCTCTGGACCTATCTTCGGTACAATCTTCAAAACCTGTCTTGGAACGTACATCAACCGGGAGCCGTGTTGCCCCAGTCGACAGGTTCACCCGATGGGTCTCCTCACCAAGCTCCAAAACCGCCTCGAACTCCTTCGCCTCGAGAAGAGATACACCACCCGCAGGAAAGCTGGCCCAACCGCCCAATACGTTGACGGCGAATACATCTACCAGACCGCAGACTCGAGCTCCTCGAACGCCCATGCTATCCCGCAATTCACTTCCTCCTCCAGCACCTACGCCGCAAGCCAACACCAACACCCCCCCACCTCTCCCACCACCGTCTCCTTCACATCCGCGCCGGCCCCATCCTCAGCTCGCACAAACCCTCATCACAGCAGCGGCATTCGCACGAAACGCTTATCATGGCACTCCTTGACCGCGTCATCATTCGCCACCTCCTCAGCGCGAAACTCGACCCTCACCGCCCCAGACTCACCGGCCACATCATCATCAGCAATCAGCAAGAACTCGCGAGGACAGAGCTGGGAACCGCCGAAACAGGGCTGGGGCGCTGACGGCACCGACGCCTTCAAAGAGGACAAGAGAGAATTCCGATTCGACGTCGAGAAGGATCGCATGAGTATGGGAATGGTGGATTAGGGGGACAAAAAAAGAAGAATCGGGACCTGGGATGTGCAGATCAGATGGATGGGAAGACGGGGGGGAGGTTTCCAGTACAGAGTTTTTCGGTTTTTGTATACACATTGGGAAAGGTTTTAGATGGTGAAGCCGCGGGGGAATGGGAGCGAGCATGGGTATGAATGAGATATGATGATTTCCTATTGCGATGGGGCCGTCTGTGGGTCCCGGGGGCGGAAACAGTAGCCCATCGTTTAATTTGGTCATTGCTTGCTGCACTGCGGAGCGAATTTGTGCATCAAACATCGTTCACCCAACTTCGAGAGGTGGGGTTTGATCTCGATATAGACAGCGATAATGCTTCGTACATCCCTGAAAGACTCCCGAAATTCTAATAACTCGAGTAGACATCATCCTCTCTCTCTCTCTCTCTCTCTGTCTGTCTACGTTTTGTTTCCACCTATCGCTTGACTTTCTCTTACCACCCCCGACTCCCATAAATATGCAATCCAGCCACTGCCAACATTCGAAGAAATACCGCTAAGGTATATATATATATACATATATGGTGCTTAGAAGAGGCGTGGCGATGATCCACGGAAACAAATGCAATGCACGATAAGCGTACAGTGATGATATTTCGTCCAAGCCTGCTGATCTATATGGTACTGTCCGCCCATCCCTCTCTCTCCATCTCTCCATCTCAGCAGACGCGTCCGATAAGTGCTCAGCTACCTCGCATGAACATCACTTCTTCTCTGCAGCAGCAGCAGCAGCGCCAGCAGCACCAGCACCTCTCTCCTCGCGCCGGCACCGCCGAGATTCAACCTCCCGAATCCGGAGATGCTGCTCTTACTCTTCCTGTGACCGGGCCCTCCTGCGCCTGCTGGCGGCATTCCGGCACCCGGGCCCGAGACGGTCCCGGCGTCAACAGTCGCGAGCCATAGCCGGGTCCAGCACCACCAGCGAATCGACCCGCCTCTCTACCCACCCCGGCACCAGCACCTGCTCCAGCACCCGAGCCAAGCCCACCGCCCGGATGATGCGGCGCCATGCCCGATCTCCCCGCACCGCCAGCCAGCGGCGCAGATCTCAACCCCGTCATCACAGGGATATCCGGTAATGCCTTCTCTCCACCCCCCCTGGTCGCATTCCCAATCGCGTTCCCATTACCCCTCCCCCTCTCTCCTACACCCGCTCCTAAATCCGTCCTGCTACTCTGGTTGGTCCCCTCATCCAACATGCCTTCATCCTCATCCTCTTCATCTCCATCGCCGCGAAGTAAAGCCCTGTTCCTCCGTCGGGCTTTCTCCTGGATCTGTCGGAACCGCTCCAGCAATTCACCCCACTTGATGACGTTTTCGCTTCCTCCGCCGCCGCCCGGGTTGTTCGGGTCGGAGGTCGAGC